CGGGTTTTGTACGAGTCGGCAAGAACTAAGTTAATAAAATTTAGAAAATTATAATCGAACGTAAACGGATAAAATAAATGGCAGACGAGTATGCGTATGTTGGAAAAAGAATATTTAAAAGAAAGTAGGAAAGTCTGAAAACGTAGCTAACCTGAATCGATATCGTATGACGAAGTTAGTTTCGTTGTGCGAAGAGGCTTCTCGTTAACGAGTCGACGGTCGAACAGCGAATAATTCTTGTCCGGCTCAAATCCCGATTTCCTCGGCCGCGGCTCAAGCGCTGCGGTGGCGATTTCGGAAACTAGCCAACAGCTGATCGGGGATTCGCCTGTTGAGCCGGTCTAGTTGTCGTCTGTCGTTGGTCAACAAACACCATTTTGAGGTTAAGTGATGTTGTAATCGGCGTTAAATATTCGTAAAATCGGTCGTTTTAACTTTATTATGTGAAACGGAGTGCTATTATGAATAAATATATCGTTGTGGGTGTGTTTGTGTACTTCACTGTTATTAAAAGTAGGCCTACGTTCTTTGGCCCATAGCCCAAGCTAGGGCCAACACATAGGCCTAGGATTAGGATGTTGTGGATAAAAATCGGGTAAGTTATGGTGTTTGTTGACTAGCAATACGTTTTTACCCCCCTTAAAATTTGGTACCTCACACTACTTTAAAATAAAAATTCTTATTTTTTTGTGGAGTTATATCTCATGCATGTATATCTTTTTCCAAACGACTAAATAGTTTAACAGAACAGTAACAACTGTTTATATAGGGAGAGTGTACCATTCAATGACTGTTTAAGCTCGAGTTTCCACTTGTATATAGGGGTTTGCATGTAGAGGTTCCAATCCCAGGATTTCGGGATTTGTCCAAGCCGATCTCGGGATTGATCCCGGGATTATAATATTTTATGATCTTAACCTCTTGGCCAGGGCCGATTTACCGAATAGGCAAGGTAGGCACGTGCCTAGGGCGCGAGGCAATTGGCTTTTTTTGGGGGCGCCAAAAAATTGGAAAAAAGAAAAAAAATTGTGGCCGTTTTTGCATGCGATCGCGGTAAACTGATAATCCCTTGCGGCCGTGAAGACACCTTAACAGTCCCCCATAATTGCGGCAAGATGTTAATTATTTACCGCGGTTGTATATACGTCGTCATCGTCCGTCTCCCGTGATCGCGTCAAAGTTCTGACTATTTCCAGCGGATGTGTGGACATAATTATCGTCTTCCTTGATCGCGGCAATATATGAACACATCCCGCGGTCGTGATGAGACTATCACCGTCTACCGCGAATGAGGCAAAATTGTAATCTTTTCCCGGGGTCGTGTGGACATTATCATCTTCTTGCGTGATCACGATAAAATTCTTATAATCCCTCACAGCCGTGAAGACATCATCGCCTCCCATGGTCGTGAGGCATTGTCATCATCTCCCGCCATTGCGGCAAATGGTAATCATCTCCCGCGGTTGTTTGGAGATCATCATCGTCTTTCACGAATGAGGCAAATTTCTGATTTTTCCCGTGGTTGAGTGGACATTATCATCGTCTTACGCGATTGCGGTAAAATTCTGATCATCCCTCGCAGCCGTGTAGAGTAGACATCATTATTGTAACTCCCGCGATCCTGTAGACATCGCAATCGTTCCCCGCTGTCGTGAAGACATCATATAATCGTCTCCCTCGGTCGTGAAGACACCGTAATCATCTCCCGCGATCGTGAAGACATCGTAATCGTCTCCGCGCGATCGTGAAGACATTGTAATCGTCTCCGCGCGATCGTGAAGACATTGTAATCGTCTCCGCGCGATCGTGAAGACATCGTAATCGTCTCCGCGCGATCGTGAAGACATCGTAATCGTCTCCCGCGGTCGTGAAGACATCGTAATCGTCTCCAGCTGTCGTGATTCATCGTAATCGTCTCCCGCTGTCGTGAAGACATCGTAATTGTCTCCCGCGATTACGGCAAAATGTTAATAATATCCCGCAGTTATGTGGATATCATTATCGTCTTCCGCGATCGTGGCAAATTTCTGACTGTTTTCCGTGGTTGTGTGGACCATGATCATATCCCGCGGTCATTTAGTCGATATCATAGTCTCGCGCGATCGCGGTAAAATCATGATCATATCCCATGGTCGTTTAGACATTATCATCGTATCATGCGATCGCGGCAATATTCTGACTATCCTCTGTGGATCTCATTATCGTATTGCGCGATCGCGGTAAAATCATGATCATATCCCGCGGTCGTTTAGATATTATTATCATCTCATGCGATCGCGGCAAAGTTCTGATCATCCCTCGAGGCCTTTTGGAGACATATTATTGCCTCCCGTCTCCCGTGGTCACGGAAACGTCACTGTTGTAAATTGACAATTCCAGGTATAAAATTAACACATAATTCCTGGTTCAAAAAAATTCACGCTTAGTTTCCGGATTTCCCGGTTGGTGGTCACCCTGTTATATATTGCAAAGGGGCGCTACTATTAGTTGTGCCTAGGGTGCTGACATGGTCAAAAACGGGCCTGCTCTTGGCCATTTTATATGAGCGTGGAGTCTCCTTGTTACGTCCTTACATGTTTTAAACTGGCCCTGCTTGTGTTATGCTCTGGAATTTAGCTGTCTTTCCAAATAAACAAATTATATTACCTTACAGAAGTTTCATCACTCTTATTCTCATTTATTAATGTATAAATTTCTGCATTCTGAATTGTCTGATGTTTACCTGCATATCTAAACTCTCCACAAGATCACACCAGTTAGGGTTCATGTAGGCGGCACTTAATGCTCAAATGGTCCCTGAGTTAACGAACAGTTTGGTGCAGGGAATTGTTTAAACCATTTTAAAGTCAGAGAGTTTTTGAGAAATTTGTACTTACCTAGATTTTAAATTTTTTACTTTGACCATTTTCAATTGTGTTTATGACTCATAAATTAGTTTCCAAAATTAAGATAGGTAAGCTTAATTGTAGCCTATTTGATATAAAAAGCAGCTATCTTGCAAAACTGCTAAAATTTATATTTTTATACTTACTTGTGAAAAGAAACAGTGCTGTTCTTTTTGTCGTAGATATTTGGACATCCTGATATTGAACACTTCATCTTCACAGGGTTTTGAACATTCAATTAATTAACGTATAATTTGAGAAGGGAATTATCTGAAAATTTACAACAGATGATAAGGTACCGGTAAATAAGATTAGGTTCAAGGTACTGTACTGCAAAGATAGGCAAGGATTGTTTTAATAATAAAATTTGTCTGAAAGACATTCAGGGTCCAAAGTTCCACACTTGCATCTTTAGGCCATACCGTACAGTTTAGTAAGTTACCGGTACAACTAAAGTCTATTGTGAAAATCAACTGCAGTAAGTTAGCCCGGGGACTGAAATATTGACTAAATACTTGAAACTGCTGTCAGGTATTGTAAAACTCAAATTATTGAAGTAAGTTTAGACAATTTTTGTAACCATGCAAGACCTATCACGAGAGAAAGCAATCGGCTAAAATACCGACCACGTGCAGCAAAGTAGCCTCCACCTCTTACAGCCTAGAATCAGTTATTCTCCAACCCTTCCTGGGCTATGGACGGATACTTATAGGCTTATCTGTCAATCTACCTTTACATTCTGGTTGGATTATAACAATATTTGTATTGCAATTTGAGTTGTAAGCTGTAATAAATTTAATTGTTGTGAATTTATGAAAAATTCAGAAAAATGCTACCCTTAGTCGGCGTTGCGGCCAACTAGAGCATTAGCCTAGGTCCTGTCAAATCCATCCATTATTGGGGATTTCCATGACTTTCAATGACCAGAATTTTTTTCCAAGACTTTCCCTGACTTTCCAGAATGTGGACACCCTGCATAGCCTAGATTCGTAATTGTAACCTTCGTTTTACGGCCACTTATATCTCTCCGACAAAAAATGATTGCATTTTTGGATTCAGCGTGAAAAATACTGTAAGTAGACATCTAAAAATTACACGATATCGCATTGTAGATGTATCCGTGATTGAACTTCAAACAAACACATAGCCTAAATAAACAAACACACAAACTTTCTCATTTATAATATTAGTAAGTAAGATTTGCCGAATTGATTAAGAACATGTTCCAGACTAGTCATTTCATGGGGCTGTGAGGCACATACAATAAACCGGAAACCTTGGCAAGTAGCAGATCAAGAGTGGCCTAGGCCTAGGCCTGACTTACTTAATGTTGGTAAACAACAATTAATTTTGTTACTCTAGTTGACATTTCTATATAAATTTTTTAGCGGCATGTACAAATAAAAGTGTTGATGGCCTAGCCTAGATCTGACACTTTTAAGTAAAAGAGATGCAATTAATTGATAAAACGGGCCTAAGCATAACCTAATGGTTTCTGTTGATCTATCTCTTAAGCATACACACACCGGTAATGAAACCCTTCACATTCTGCTAATCATACATACCAAATGTAGTACACGCATTTGATTATCACCAATAGTTACTAAATCAATGATCGTAAGATATATTTTTAATCGTCAACATACTGATCTACAAACAACAGGAATAGGTATTCAAAGTTCAAACAAACCCAACCCCAAACCCCAACCTAACCATAACCAACAAAACGTTCACATTTCGTCATTATTCCTCCATTCCTCTGCTGTTCATTTCATTCCTTACCCTTATCTCTTCCCTTCAAACAAAATCTATCCATCCATTATTTCAGTCCAAGTCCAAGAAGAAGAAGTGTCAAGTGTCAGTCGACAGTCAGTACCAGTAGTAGTCAGACAGTGTACTCACTCTACTCAACTCAGTGCAGTGTAGTGTCGTCAGTGCAGTGCAGTGTCACCACTCTTTTCTTTTCATTCACACACAGTCAGTCCAGTCTCGTCCTCGTTTTCGTCGCAGTTATCATAGTCTAGTCCTAGTCCTATTCCCATTCCCATCCATTCTCGCTCTCGCCTGATGGCTGATCCTGATATTCGTGATGATCTACCCTAGGTTACTGTTACTAAGTTTACCGTATTATCATTACCATAAACTAAGTTATTAATTGATTTGTAGAATCGACAAATTTGTATTATTTATTTAATAATGCCCGTCGATATTAACAGACTCACTGAAGGTTGGTTGGAATTAGAAAGTGATCCAGGATTGTTCACATTGCTCTTAGAAGATTTTGGAGTTAAAGGTGTGCAAGTAGAAGAAATATACGACCTACAAAAATCCCTGGATAGTCCAGTTTATGGATTTATATTCCTTTTTCGCTGGATTGAGGAAAGAAGATCAAGGAGGAAAGTCGTTGATCAAAGTGACATTTATGTAAAAGATGAAGAAATCGTCAATAACATATTTTTTGCTCAACAAATGGTACCTAATAGTTGTGCCACTCATTCCCTCTTGTCTGTGCTTTTGAATTGCCATAACATCCATCTAGGCAGTACTTTGAGCCGACTTAAAGCTCACACTCATGGTATGTGTCCAGAAAATAAGGGATGGGCTATTGGTAATACACCCGAGCTTGCTAGAGCTCACAACTCACACGCTATGCCTCAAGCCAAACGCAGGCTTGACAAGAGCACCGGAATAAGTACAGGGAGGTGAGTTGCCTTTTCAGTAATAGCAATAGCCTAAGGCGGGTCACACCAGAGAGAGCCCTCTAGATGCTGATTCAACTAAATGAACTTGACATTTTTTTACGATCAAATTGGCGAGTTAACCTAGGTACTACTAGCTAATAAAACCTTCCATTCTTTCATGGAAGCTAAAGAAGTATTTTAAATTCATTTCATTTCTTACTATCAGGTGGCTGCACTTTAGATTTGTTTACTTCGAGTCAGGTAAAAAATGTTACTTACCTATGGGGTTGATTTATATATATTGTCGATTTTCGAGGCGAGCAGAGCCTAGCCTAGCTTGAGAGATCAAGCCCAAAGTCAGAAAATCAAGCTCGAGCTGATTTTCTCAGTTCGGTACTCAATACAATATTGCCCAATTAAAAGTAAGTTACTTAACATTTGTTATGTCCGCGAGGATCACGCTCTCGAATTTGAAAGATTAGGCCTACACTTTTGCCGTGATCGCGGATATTGACGAGAACATTTCCCTGCGAGGTCACGATGACGATGTTTACACGGCCGCAGGAGATGTACCTACAATATTTTGCCGCAATTGCGGAAGAGGATAGTAATGTTTCTTTTTCCGCAAGAGATCTATCTAGGATTTTGCCGCGATTGCGGAAAAACGATTTCCCCGTCACCACGGGTCACTCGAGATATTAGGGATTGAGCCATGAGCGCAGGAGATGATAAGTTAATGTTGTTATCTCAGCTGATGATGTCATAGGTTTGGCTGCAATCTCGGTAGACTATTATAATGTTTCTTCCATGACTATGGGAAGTAGTCACAATTTTTCCGCGATCATTTTTTTATTAATTTTTTTTTTTTACGTTATCAATCAATTAATCAATCAATCAATCACGCTAGGCACGAGCCCGGAATTGTTTTTTATATTACTTTGGCCTAGACCTATCAATTATTTAAGATGGGGACGCCACTATGTGCGTATTTTAACCCAAATATGAGTTAAGGATTAGTGGCGCGATCTTGTAGTCTTGTTAGTGACTAAGGCCGACATATTCCTTTGACACAGCTGTTAACTAATAGCCCATCTTATCTTATCTAACAGGGGCAGGTTAAGACCTTAAAGCACTTCATCCGAAAAATTGAATTATTGCGCACCCCAGACAATAGGCCATAGAGCTAATGGCAACTAAGGGACCTACAGTTTATAGTGCAATCCGAACCACATTTTCCCTTGTAATTAACGAATTGGTCTAGGGGTAATATCACTTACATAAGGTACAAGCTCTCAGAGACTAGTTCCAGGTAAATGGGTTGGTTATGAATGATGATAAAACTCAGCTTATAGAGTTTAGTTCTAATAATAGGATCAATATAAAACAGATAAAATTACAACATCAAAATCTAAAATGCCACTGCAGCAAAATGTGAATTTTTAGGTATAACTGTCAATGAAAATCTTAACTGGAAATCACAAGTTATTAATTTGATTAAACCGCTGTATTTTCTCTCATCGCGCAATCAGACAAGCTGTTAACTTCAAAGACTCAGCTTATAGTTTAGCCTATCATGCTTATTTTTCTTCAATAATGACATATGGTATTCTGGTCTGGGGAAACTCATGCCACTCCAACAAAATATTTAAATAAAGAGTATAAAACAACAAAATATTTATCAAAGTAAATGTCAAAATATTTACTTTGAACAACATTAACTCACCATCACCAACAATGAACTTCAAAATGTTTAAACTTCAACAAAAAGCAATTAGAATTATTGGGCGAGTTCCTCATAGAACTCCTTGTAAAAAGTCTTTTTCAAACATTTTATGTTCACTATATTTTAGAAATCTCAAATTGAGTTAAAGACAATCTGTCCTCATTCATGACCCAACCCTTTCATTCCCATCACACTAGATTTAAGAGTTATATTAAGCCTGAAACCCAGATTAGAGAAATTTCATTTATCTCCCCAATATACTTATAGGCCCACAAGTTTACAATAAGTTACCACTCTGCATAAAAAATATTGATAGTAGGCCTAATCCACAGTTCAGATCCACCCTAAAGACCTGGTTAAAAACAAAAAAAATGTTCTAGCCTATCGAATGTTATTTAAATAGGGACGTTAAGTTAGATTAATATTTTAGTAAGACATTTTTGTTATTTCTTAGTTTTAGTATTATCCTGTGTATGACACTATGTCCTGTCAAATGATGTAATAAATAAATAAATAAAATCCATTGGTGATTTGGCGGAGTTTGAACCCGGGACCCCAGGAACCGGAGTCCCGCGCTCTAACCATCGGACCAGATCGCTTGCCGCGATTATGGAAGACAATTATGATGCCTCGGGAGATGCCGTGCCAAGTTTAGGTGGTACGGTAATACATGATATAATACATGTGTTTTAAGAGATTATTAAGAGAGGAGGGCCCGGCGAACAAACTTGCGGGGGGCTCTTATCGCCGACACTGGCTCTGCACATGTATTGAAATATAGCCTACATTTACCCCTCTTTCTTTAAAGATACCTATTTGAAGATTTTATAGAAAATAATGAGCTACCCTATAATTATAACTTACAACCTTCCATATGCAGAGCTTCCTTGATTTTAACTGTCTATTATTTTTCAAGATGTTCATTTGAATACATTTCTAAGAAAAGACGTCATCATAATCCAAAACATTTATTTAGAAAGTGATTTTAATGTTTTATTAAAAATATGGTATGTGCGTAATGTTTTACAAAAATATTTAAGTTTCTAAGAAAAGCATGACATCCAGCATTAGTCTATAGCCATCCAACACCAAAAATGTTTAACATTTTGCAGATATATTAATGTCATGTTTTTTTTTCAGGTTCACCGGGGAGGCCTATCATTTCGTCAGCTACGTACCCATCAATGGAAGACTGTTTGAGTTGGATGGTCTCAAGCCATTTCCAATGGATCATGGTCCGTGGAATGAGAGTGAAGATTGGACGGATAAGTTTCATAGTGTGATCGCTGATCGTTTAGGTATTGCTGCCGGTGATATACGCTTCAACTTGATGGCTGTGGTTCCAGACAAGCGGTTAGCTATCACCCATAAGCTGAATATGTTAAAGACTAATAGACAAATTGTCTTGGAAGCTCTTCAGCAATTGGTAAAGCTCAATCATCCCGATTTGGCTGTTAAATCGGAAAAAGACTCAAAAGGAAAATCGGAAGATACAAAAGTTTCTCCTGGAAGCAAAAGGAAGGAGTCAAACAAAGCGATAGAAAATGGTCTCGATAGTCTTGCATCAATAGAAGATGCTCTTGATCTGGTTACACCCAATAAAATCCCAAGAAAGCAGCATTCGCCTAGAAAACACAGTAATACTGAGGTTAAAGAAGAGAAAGCAGAAACATCTGAAGAGACCGATGAAAACTTGAAAACTTCTCCTGTAAATAGCTGTGAAAGTCTAGAAAGACACAATCTCTCCAAAATATCACTCATTGTAACTTCGGACGAAAACGAACAAATAAAACCTGAGATATCGGAAACCTCCAAGGCAGGAGAGAAGATGCCAGATTATTCTACCCCTCTAACTATCCAAACATCACCTGCTCCAAGCACTTCGAGCACAGACACTTCTTCTGAAGTGGGTTCAGCGTTCAACTCTCCCACCCAAGCTTGGGGCTGGAACTCCGGACAGAGTAGTCCTAACAATGCCAAAGATTTCAAGAAGTTTGTTGTTATCAGAGTGGCTATGGCTGGCAGTGAAGAAAAAATTGATTCTCCAACTAAATCGAAGCGAGATTCTCTCGGAGTTCGCAAAGTCTGTCTGGACGCTGGAGCATTACCTAAAGGATGGGAGAAACCGTCGAGTGGAAAAGTATCTGGAATGAAAATTAGCCCTTTAGCCTTGAGTAACAAACTGAAATCGGATGAGAGTGGTAAGAAAATTGAAACTCCACATCACACGTTTGCACCGAAAGACTTGCTAGCTTTACTTAAAAATCTTGAAGGTGAAATAAGTCTTTGTGAGGGTAATTTGAGAGATGAAAACGAGAAGAGGAAGAAATACAAAGTAGATGACTGCAGGCGAACTCACAACTACGATGAGTTTATTTGTACTTTCCTATCGATGTTGGCTCAACAAGGAAAATTGGCTGATTTGGTCCAACAACACTTGATGTTCCAGAAAAAGCCAGGCATCACACCTCCTCGTCCTCCAGTCGTCAAACCGGCACCAAAGAAACACGACTCAAAGAACCACTCAGCCAAACGAAGGAAGGGTGGTTCCAAGCACCGAAAGCGGAAGTAAACCTGTGGTAATTATGTAATAGGTTGATGGTTTTTTTTAAGCATTCATGGAATTTTAGTGTAGGGTACAAACAAGCATAGTATAGATATTTTCCAGGTTGAAACACCAAGATGAAATGTTTTTCCATTCATTATCTTGCATTTAATTTTTGATAGGCCTACTTATAATATTTTAAGTTATTTAAACCATTACCTATATAGTTTTAAGTATGTTTCATGGTGTTTGAGTGCGCTGATGCTGAGTAAAAGTGTTTTCTCTTATTTTAGGCTAATTTTACAGTGTGTGCTTTTCAGTTATAATATACCGGTAATAGAACTAGTAAAATACGTAATTAATCAGATCGTAAACATCAAAACACTATGTATATTGGCCAAATTGGCCAGAACCTTTGACTATTGATGCAACTAGACATTCCATCTTCATTTCAAAGTTCACAGTTTGTTTTACAAAATCGTGTATTGGTTTGAGCCACTGTCAGATTGTGCTGATCTAAATTACTAATTTCTGTCGAATAGGAGTTGTAATACCTTGGAAAAGTTGCTAAACTGTAAGACCAAAACAGGGTAAACAAAAAAAAATTGGTAGTTTTTTTCCGTTCACGCCTGTACTCTAAAATTAATCAAAAAATAAAAAAACTCAAATTTTTCTATAATTTTAAATTTATTTATTTTTTAATATGTAATAGTTGAAAATGCCATCTGCAAGACACTAAAGACATCCAAACTGGGGGGAACTTGACTGGGAAATTTCAACCCTGTTGGAATTTTGAACAGGATCTTGAGGGTGTTTTCATGGGAGCTTTTGGAGTTCGGAAAGGGGTTGTTTTTTCCACAACTGTTCTTGTCTGGTTGAGATTTTTCGGTCTTAAAGCTCTTTGACACTCACATCTTGTTGAGTTGTGCACCATGTATTTAGATTTTTCAATATGCTCCGTTTTGTGGAGTGCTTGTGGCTGGCATTCGGTTTATCCTTGGAGTAGGTGTAGTGAGGTAGGCTCTAACTCCCACTGTGTTCTCTTCTTTTCGTACCAAAGTTGTTGACTTGGACGATGATAAAACAGCAGTTTCAATCCTCCTTGCTTTAGTTTGGTTCTGAGTTACAGGAGTCACTGCAGCTCGTCGCTTTACTCCCCCCATGGTTTGATGTCCGACTCGAGTTTTCATTAAGTTGTCAGCATTATTTGCTGCTTTTCATAGAAGTCTCTCAGTCTGTTTCGAGCTCTCTCTTTCAAGCTCCTTCATCTCAATTGTAAGCTCCAGAGGCTCACCACGGTACAAAAAGTAACTATTACATAAAAAATAAAAAACTTTATAATTTTACTATTTTTTCAAAAATTAGAATTTTTCATTTTTTGTTTAAACTTAAGAGTTGTTACACATGCGCGACCGGAAGATAACGACCGATAGTTTTGATATTTTACCCTGTTTTGGTCGTACATTTTAGCATAGACAAAAAGAATTAAATAAAGAGCTTAACATAGGTTCTGACGCACCCCACTGGCAGCGCTGTGTAGTTACGTAGCGCGAAGGCTGTAACTACATGGCGCTCCCAGTGGTGTGCGCCAGAACCTATGGTAACCGCAGCACGGCTGACGGTCTATATTTAATTATTTTTGTCTATGATTTTAACAACATTTCCAAGGTATTACAACAACAACAAAATTTCATTTTTTTCAGCCCACCCTAACAACTATACATACATTATTATGTTATTTTTTAATAAAAATAATTTGCAACAGCTGGTATATATAGATGGGATGTCTTCTTACGTATCCAATAGTCAATGCCAGCTGTTATAAGTACAAGGGGGTTGGTATAACCCATGGATCAAATGGTTATAAATTTCATGAAGTTTTCTGGGAAAAAAATATGATCAAAATCCTTAATTTAATTTCTTTTAACAACTTTCAAGACTTAAATCAGCATAATCTGTTACTGGCTCAATTCAACTATGTTCATTAAGATAAAAAAAAACCATTGGCAACCTTATTATGGTAATGGAATGTTGGTGCTATTAATAGTCAAAGATTATATATTTTCATAGACAAAAAGAATGAAATATAGACCGACAGCCGTGCTGCGGTTACCATAGGTTCTGGCACACACCGCTTGGAGCGCCATGTAGTTACAGCGTACGCACTACATAACTACTCGGCGCTTCCAGTGGTGTGCGCCAGTACCTATGGTAACCGCAGCCACAGAAAACGTACTACTATAACCCAGAATGCCAACCGCATGGTAAAAAGCATTAAGCGGTTTGAGAGAGCTTTGCCTGTCAATCCGTAGGCAGCGCCACCAGCGTTGCCATGCAATAGCATAGCAACGCTGGTGGCGCTGCCTACGGATTGACAGGCAAAGCTCTCTCAAAACACTTAATGCTTTTTACCATGCGGTTGGCATTCTGGGTTATAGAAGTTTGTTTTCTGTGCCGCAGCATGGCTGTCAGTCTATATTTAATTTTTTTGTCCATGATATTATGTACTAGCTTTTGAACCCTTACTTTGCAAAGGGATGAGAACACAAAATAGAAACATTTTGATCTTTATAACATTTTTATATATTATGTATTTGCGTTTACTTTTACTTCAAATAGTGCTAATTAATATACTATTCGTCCCATTATTAACATCTAAAGCCTGTTTTGATGTTTGTTTAGTTTTGATTACATTTTAGTCTGCTGATAATGGCTAAATGTTTATTTCTAGTTTTACAATAAATTTTACAGTAAGCAATGTTCTCTTTGGTTGCTAAAGTGGAAGACAAGCATTTTTATACAGGGTGTTTTTTTAAAAACTTGCATCTTTATTTATGTAAAAACCGCAATAGATAGAAATATGCAGTTTGCGGGAATCATCAATTGATGTAGGGGGCCCAATTGTTTTGAATTCAACGTTACATTCACATTCCCCCCCCTGCCCCCAACTTAATTTTTTAAATAGCAAGGTACCCCTTGTGACATATCAAATGAAAGAGCATGAAAAAAGAAAATGTTTGATGAAAAAAAATTGAAAATCGGTTTATAAATTTGCGAGATATTTCCCACCCGCTTCCCCGGAACTTAAATTTTTTTTAATAGCAAAGTACCCCTTGTGACATATCAAATGAAAGAGCATGAAAAAAGAAAATGTTTGGCGAAATTTATTTTTCATTTGATATGTCACATAGCGGGTACCTTGCTATTAAAAAACAAGTTATGGGTAGGGGAAAAGGGGGGGGAATATCTCACAAATTTATGAACCGATTTTCCATTTTTTTTCATCAAACATTTTCTTTTTTCATGCTCTTTTATTTAATATGTCACAAGGGGTACCTTGCTATTTAAAAACATTAAGTTGGGGGCAGGGGGGGAATGTAAATGTAACGTTGAATTCAAAACAATTGGGCCCCCTACGTCAATAGATGATTCCCGCCAACTGCATATTTCTATCTATTGCGGTTTTTACATAAATAAAGATGCAAGTTTAAAAAAAAACACCCTGTATTTGCTTACAATATATTTAAAGTTGGTTAAATAGGTAAGCTTCAATATTGTAAACAATCAAATTTTCTTTATGCTAATTGCAAAGAAACATATCTAATTGTCTGCAGCCAATCCGTTAGGTCATAAGGATTATAAATATAATGTTAGCTATGGTATTTTCCCCACATCCTAGTACAAGCAGTAGGAACCAGTTCCTTTAATTTGTTTTATAACTTATTTAACTTAAAAAAATTATACAAAATTAATTTAATGTATATAATAATTTATATTAAATTATTCCTATTGTAAATATGTTTTGTTCAATATACGTTTTCTATTTTCCAAATTGTTGACAATTTATTGAAAACACCTTTCAGAAACCTAGGTTAATTTTTTTTTAGTTTTCATATGTGTACAGTTTTGATTTTGAAAAAAAAAATTGTTGCATACTTCTCATTACTGGCAGTACTAAAGATAGAGTAGAAACTCGATAACAAGCCACCCTTGATGAGAAAATTCCCTTGAATTTATTTGACCCCTACTCACATGTTATTGCAATCCGTGATAAGAAATCAATCTTGATAACAAATCTTATTTAGTAATCCCCATGAGAGTCTTGTTATGGAGGTTCTACTGTACCAACATATCATATACTCAAATCAAATCAAATTATCTTTATTCACTTTATACATTTTATATACATGAAAAGTGTCAAAGCATATAAAAAAAATAATCATACAATTTAGTTTTGAATATCAGTAATGGAATTACCCGAAGTTTTAAGATTTATATCATCAGCACATATACTTAGCATATAATACTGCATTTAATTTGGCAATAAACAAAGAAAAATTAATGAGGAAATAAATATTTACCTAGATAATGATTAAATAATTCAAGTTGAAAATACTAAATTCCTTGGCCTTATCATCGATAGACACCTAAGTTGGGATCTAAAGTGGATAATGTCTTAAAGAAAATTAACTCTGGTATCTATACCATGAAAAGATTGTATTCTATCTGCAATACAAATGTACTAAAAAGTGCTTATTTTGCTAATGTCCAATCCCATGATTCTTACAGTGGCGGATCTAGAACAGTCACAAGGGGGGGGGGGCGAACCAGGGAATCTGGGGGTACCCGCCCAAAAAATTGGTGTAAACTAAGTCTCCAAAATGGCAGTTTTATACCATTTCTTTGTCTAAAGTAAGTGTGATGTATGCCTGAGACTGGATTCTTATGGGATCTTTGTCCACGGAAAAACATCCGCTCAAAATTTGACAAAGATACTAATAGGACAAAAAGGAAACTAAGGGCCATATTAAATTTTTAAAGCAATGAATCCGTCCTAACTTACTTTACCGAATTAACAATCTTAACTATTTGCAGATTATATATATTTTAGAATGCATAATGTTTGTAAAAAATAATATATAAATAGTTTTATTACAAACAAAGATATCCACAGTTTTAATACGAATAATAAAAATAAAGTTGTAAGGTATTACCAAATTATAATTTTTTTTAGAGAAAAACTTCATAGAATGGTACAAGTTTCTTAAATCACATAAGGAGCATGCAGGATGATAGAGGTTTCAAGGTGAAATTGACAGAATTTTGTTTACAAAGGGCAATTTATTATTTCGATGAATCTTTCAACTTAAAGCAAATGTATATCTTGAAATTCAGTGTTCCTGCACAAATATGTAATATTCTTATTGTACAGCAGTGTATTTACAGATACGAATAAAAATAATTTGTTTTGATATCAAAACTTGGTCAAAATTGCAAATCTTATTAGAACAGTGTTTGGTTATCAATCGGGAGAAAATTTAGAAATACTACAAGTTTTGTACTCTTAGCTAAGGATTTTGAGTGACAGTGAATGACACAAATTAAACACTTAAATTTGGAGCTACAGTAGAAAATTTGTGTCAATAATTTTTACTGACAACTTTCATAAACTTCATCTGATATGGAAATTAATTACACCAATTGAATGTACAGTAACTTCATTTGCAGGTTTGTTATTTAGCATTGTAAAACTGTATCAATATTTACCACAGTAAATTGAAGAAAGTATTAACAAATTAACAGTGACAAAGAAAAATATCATATTAATTTTTCTTAAGCTGCAAATGAACTTAATAACTGTGGTTTTTAGCGAATTTCCCATATAGGGAATAAGCTATTACCGTAGTACTCATGGTAAGACCTGGACGCGGGACCGATTTTTTTTTCATTTTGAGGTCCCTAGAGGCCAAAAACACCATCCGTTCAAATTCATATATATATATGTGTCCGTTAGCACGATAACTCGAGCAAAAATGAACCCGATTTTGATGAAATTTGGTACAAACGTGTAAACCTACGTTTATTCGAACGAGTTCGCGATCCAGCATGATCGGACCATGGGAACGGGGGGTTTTATGGGGTAAAAATAGGTTTTTCCCATTTTTGACCCAAAAAACATAAAATTTAGCAATTTCTTTCCAAACCATTTTGTAGAGCTTAAAAAAAACAAATAATTTAGTATATTGAAGCGTTATTATGCGCCTAATGGTTACGGAGAAAATTCCAAAAAATTGTAAATTTAAAATTCTCATGTTATTCTTATGGAGAATAAGTAAATTGTTGTAGTTTGCTTGTTTATGAACATATTTTGATCAAATTTGGAAAATGTTTTTATTTCTTACTAACTATTAACGTTTTACAAAAAAAAAACAATTTTACCCTCCCTGATGCAGCAAACCTAAGTACTAGTTAAACTAATTCTATTTAAATAGAGAATAAATGTTATATTTTTAAGTAGACATTTCAGTGTAAATCCAATCAGTCAAATGGAAATTCGCTTAGTCTGCAGGTTTGCTGCGGCGGGGGTATTGGTTTTAGTTACATTTTAAAACCTGTATCGTGGAATCATATTTTCATAAACAAATTACATTTGAGGCAGTGTAATTTGCTTGTTACCAATGGTGTAGTGTGGGACGGGAACACGTGGGAAAGGCGATCCCACTCAGCTTTTTCCAAAGAACCTGCTGGTAAGCAATCCGTATTTTTCCACGGCTATGGTCTATGGTAAACGTGGTTTAAGTTACTAACTTCTAGTATGCTATCCTTGGCCCCAACAAACACACCTTCAAATCCTTGTAATTATTGGACTCTCAAAAGTTGTTAAGTCAAAAGTCCTTTATTAAGCCAGATTAACAAATATTATGCATTGGCCAAGTCTTAACTCATAAAATTACATTTATTATGAAATTTATTAGGTACTAAATACATATATATACAGGGTTAGTAAAAAGTCTGGAGACCCCCTGTCAATTTTTTAACGGCCCATACTAGAAAACTAAACTTGGTATACATCCCCAAAATGGTTTTTGGGGGAAACTCAAAAATTTCAAATAGTAAGACCCATCGGGCGACCCCTCCTTTTAAAGGTCCTGGTAAAAGAAAACCACAGCGTAAACTAGAGGGCTCTATCTCAATCCAGCAAAAAATGGTAGCTGATTGAAATCTTTAGAAATCAGAATTAACTTGCAATTTTATATTCAATTGGCTGCTATATTTTACTGTGTTAATATATAGACTTCTAGTGTGCATTGTTATGTTCTTTTATCACGACCTTCAAAATGAGGGGTCACTCGATGGGGCTTAAGATTTAAAATTTTTGAGTTTCGCCCAAAATCCCCCATTTTGGGTTTGGGAACCAAGTGGCAATTAAGCTCAAGAAGTACTTCATATCATGCCATAAATGTGTGTAGAGTTTAGTTTTCCTAGTGTGAGCGTTACAAAATTTACAGGGGGTGTCCAGACTTGGAAAGCTGTAAGTCAAATTTAACTTCTGAGAATTTCAATTGGCTGCCATTTATTACTGGATCTAGATAGAGACCTCTAGTTTACGTTGTTGGTTTCCTTTTACCAGGACCTTCAAAATGAGGGGTCGCTCGATGGGTCTTACTATTTGAAATACCTATTTGAGTTTCCCCCAAAATCCCCCATTTTGGGGATGTACACCAAGTGGCGCGTATGCCCAAAAAGTACTTCATAACATGCCATAAAGGTGTGCCGAGTTTAGTAAAAACATAGAAGTGGAAGTTTTTCTGAAAAAAAAGAGGTTGAGCGTCGTAAATAGTACCGTAATAGTAAATAGACTAAAAAAGTAAAAATAGTAATTGTTCTAGATTGAGTTCTTTCAATTAGCAGACAATGTGGTTTCTGGTAAGGGGATAAAATCATGCATATTATTCAATTGGAAATGTTACCATGGAAAATTATTAGATATCCCAAAGGAGCAACTTTAATACTTTCAGTAGATAAGGCAGTAACGTAAAGCTCTCACAACAAATCCTGGGGCTTCAATTGCTTGTTTTTTTCTATGGATATATTTAATATATGAAAAGAAATGTTCACTATATAGAATCTAGATTGAGATTTGGGATTTGGAAGCGTTTTTAATCTCAACCAGTCACACTTCAGCATAAAGTTTTTTTTCTGTTTTAATTTGTTCAATGAGTTTTTTCATATCAATAATAGGAAAATATTAGAAGGAGGAAGTATATTTAATCTTTTACAACATGTCATACATTTAATTTTATATGTAAACCGTTATACTCTTTTGGCATATTTATTATTCAACGTCCATTCCATTCTTCATATTCAATGCTTAATGTATTGTCAATGTAGCGTTTATCGATATGGCCATGGCAATTGCTTGTGTTCTGTTTTGTTTCTTTGTTTGTGTTGTTGTTATTATGTTGGGATAGATCAAACATAACCTATAAGTTCGACGGTGATGTTTGTTGTGGTAAATGGTGTTAAACTTTTAAACTGGATGTAGAAATTACACGAATTAGATAGGCTATATTTATTTGTTAATTAAAGACTCTTTTAGTTTTTATTAATCCAAAATCATGGCACTGACTCAAGATATGGATATGGCGATATTAGCTAGATCATTAAAATTGTTGCATTCACCAGAAGAAGATTCTGCTGAGCAATTGAGAATAATTTTAGAAGATACCATTAAATGTAAATATGGAAACAGAAAACCGATTAATTTATCAGTTCTAGGTCTTAATAAAAAGACTGTTACTGTAAGTAAATATCAGTTATTGGTACAATGTAGACAGTTTCTTAGATGTTATAATGTTAAGCCTAACATTACCATATTGCTACTGATCTTTGCAAGTCATAATGCATTATAACATAAAGAGGACATCAACATTTTATTTTAAACAACTTGTTTCAATTGACAATAATAATGTTATGAATTAAGTAATAGCACCAGCCTACCCTTGAAGAAACCGAATGAATAAGAAATAAGTAGCCTATCTTATGTTTAGTTTATGATTGAGTTTCACTGTCATAATATTTCTATTCTTTTATATTGTTTTTTGAACAACTTACACTTCAAGTAAGTTTACAGTAACACCTATTTATGTGGCTATGGTTGAAAGGAGGGTACTGCAAAGAAATGTGAGTAGGTATTCCCTACAACAGACGTAACTTAAGTTTACAGTAAGTTGAAGTATGTTTACAATACCGGTACACAGGTTTATGTGGCTGGATAAAGAAGAGTACTAAACGTGTGAGTATTTCTTACTACAGACGTAAGATTACTGTACAATATATAACTAAAATCATTATTAGTTTACATCTTACTAACGTCTTTGTTCTACCACTTTCAGGTAGATGAGGTTAGAGGAAAGAGAATCAAGTTAGAAGAAGGCTCTGGTGTTTCCCCTATATACAGAGAAGATTTGGAAGAGTCTCAGACTTCGGGCTCTGATAGTGATGACGGAGTTGCTCTCGAAATCCTTGATGATGATCTTTCTTGTGTTGTTTGTCAGTAAGTTGATTGATTTGCCAATTAGGATATAATCATTTTTGTGTTATTTAAATTTATATTTTCAGAAAAATGTATTTTCACTCAGCATTTTTTAAGTAACTGTTGAAGTAGGCCTATAACTTTTTTATTTTAGGTAAAATGGACTTTTCCTACGCTAAGTGTTTTGACTATCCTACTTTTGAAAAATTAAGGGAACTCCCCTTGTTTTCAAATGACCTGAATAATTATGTTTATGGTCTACCCTAACCCTATCCAACATAACCTTCCCAGTTTTTTCCACACATTGACTCATATTAATTTGATTACATTGCCTAAAAACAATAGACAACAAAAAAAAGCCCAAAACTAAAACATCTGTAGGCCTACTTATTACTTAGTCTGAAGCCTCCAACCTAGTCTGGAAATAACCACAACACACTCACGGCACCACCACTCAAATACGCCTTACAATTACCAAATTGCGTAGGAAAAACATTAGGTGGGTAGTTTAGATTAAATGATAGTGTATTTTGGTAAATGTAATTATTAAGGTCATCTGAAAACAGGATATTCTTGATCTGGTTGATATTCATGTTACCAGAAATAAAAGGCCACAAGAATTTTTACCTAGTTCCCCTGAAGGGGGAATAAAAAACAGTTAGCTATGACCAGTAGGTTGAATAAAAGCGTATCAATAATGCAGGAAACACCTAAAATTACCTAACCCAACCACAAATGTTCATGACAAGTTTTTTTTCTGTCCGCATTGTCAGTTGCAATACCCATCAGTCGCCTGCTCTGAGAGCTCGTAGCCTACCAGATCACTGACTCGTGAGTAGATGCCAGGATTAACTTACTCTGGTAACAATCAGTAATGTGGTAGTATATAACTCATTTTAACCCTGAACAAAATTGTACATTCCCAATGCTGTAAGAATCTTGATTTAAAGGTTGTTGCAATTTTCCCCATAAAACCCCATAAGCTATGTTCTTCGGTCACCCACTATTATTATGGTTTTAATATTTTGCTCATTATAGTAGTAGGATGTTCAATTGTAATATTAAGCTACAGTAGACTCCCTCTTATCCGGACACCTTATAATCGGACATCGGTTTAACTGGACTATACTCCACGGTAATTACATCTCTTTAACTTGACAATTTTTATCAGGGCATTGGTTTAACCGGACTAAATCAGCAGGAAGTGGGCGGTACTGAAACGACTGTTCTCGTGGGAAAGATTTGAGACCAGTGATTACATGTCTAAATACAATGCTCCCCTAAATTTAAGTCGAATAACACTGTAAACGGTCTGTTTTAATGAGTTTTTGGGACGTCAGCTTAACCGGAAAACCCGTTATCCGGACTAGCCTTGGTCCCAAGGAGTCCGGATAAGAGGGAGTCTACTGTAATTAAAGAAAGCATCTCAGTTTGCTGATACCGTTAATTTCCATTAAAGCGAGTGTTGGTTACAGCGAGATGGCCGTGGGTGCCAACAACAACCTGGTGGAATGTGTTGAGTGCCATTCTCTCTACCACCAGGAGTGCCACAAACCTGCCATCACTCAAGATGTCAACGATCCTAGGTTTGTTTGGTATTGCGCAACCTGCACCAAGACTATGAACAAAGTGGTAAGCCATTTATTTGTTCGAATTAATGTTGGTTAGTGAGATAAACTAAAAAGAAAGTGGTAAGCCATTTATTTGTTTGAATCAATGTTGGTTAGTAAGATAAACTAAAATATCATTTTGGAAGTATTGGTGTAAATAACACCCCCACAGTCCGGGGGGGGGGGGGGGGGCACCGAGGTCCGACTATCACCGCTCAGCGGAAAAAGGTGACCGTGGTAGATGTTGATGATAGGTATCTTCTAATAAAGATTATGTCGTTTCCGTGGCCGCGGTAGACAAACATAATGTTTACAAGACCAAAGAAAAGAAGATGTCCAAGGTTTTGGGACTATTAAGGAAAAAGGTGTTGATTTTCCGTGATTGCGAGAGACGAGCTTCCATGACTGTGGGAGACGATGATCTACATGAACGCAGGATATATTCAGGATTTGGCTGCGATCACTGAAAACAATAACAATGTTTCCATGACAATAAACAAATGTCCATGAGAGTTTTTGGATTTTGCCGCAATCACCGGTTTCAAACGGCTTTTGCTGGGATAAACTAATACAAAATAAGTGGTGATATTTTGGTGCCCGGGGGGAGGGGCGCCATCTACATGTACTGCGGGTGGTTCCTCTCGGTGTAGGTACTGTTACACCACTGATTGGAACTCTTTATTGAATTTCTCAATAAGTGTAAGGTCACTTAAATAAGTTTGAAGAACTTATCATGGAACGTTTTTGATTATTGTTTGATACAAAATATCACTCACATCGGTAGACTGAAGAAACTGTTTTGGACTTGCAAATCCATTGTCAAATTTACCACAAGGCCACAGAGCCACAAACAAGAGCGGGTCACAGTGTTTTGTAAAAAAATAAATATTTTAGAATAAAAATTGAATTTTTATTTTTATATGATTAATAATATGCCATGATTGCGGGTAACGGTGATGAAGTCCCAGTAATCACAGAGTAGGGTGTTCACGATTTCCCCTTGACCGCAGAGAACTTTCACCTAAGGGACAAGGGCTGCTCAGGTTGGTTTGGTCTAGGGCTGTGAGTACCTTTAATCCGGCACTGTGAATATCTTGCTATATGTCAGATTACTTATTAGAGGTTATTAGAGGTTTAGAGGATCTTGATAAATTATTTACATTAGATAGAAAAGAAAACTAATTTTTGACAGTTCCCTACCCTCATAATGCTACTTCTCATAAACAGATTAAAACAACCACGGACATAACTAAAAACTATTGTTATCCCCATCTCATAAATACCCTAGTGCACAAATATCTCAAAGGCATAATTATTAATCCCCATAGTTTTATGTCATCAAGAACAAAAAGCCTTATTCGATATAATTCCAGGCTAGCAGTTCAAAAGGATCACCCAGCAGTGTTAGTCAGTCTGGAAAACCACCAAAAGCGAGCAGCAAAAGTTCTTCTTCTTCCTCCTCTTCTAGTAAATCTTTTAAAGGTAAGATCCAAGAAAAACAATAATTCAATAATGTATGAAATCTCATAGTTGAATTAGATAAATAATCAAAACAACTTATACAGTCCAATTTCTAAGAGAAATATCTTCAGTGACTTGTTACAGTAAACACTTTGACGTTAACAATTTTTTATTTCCACCATCAGAAAATTTGGTAGGTAGACATAAGCATCTAGTTTAATCTACAATGAACAACTGTAGTTTAATTAGTGATTCAAAAACAATTAAATGAACAGTAATGATTTTTGTTTGTACAAGAATATTGTGAAAAATGGTTCTTGAAGTATGGTGATTCCCCCTTATCATAGACCTTAACAGTTTTTAGGAGAAATATGAAAAATATTTTACCTACGACCGTTTTTTTAAGTAGCTGTTTCAGTACAGTGTTTAGAATTGAAAAGTATCTCATAACAGCATAGTTTTACTCATAACAACACGGGTAACGGACCAATGAGGTTCAAGGATTGAGAGAGGAGAAGTAAAGTTGTAATGATTCAAAATTCAACTAACCAGCTGTTCAGGCCAATTTAATTGTTGATTGGTGCAATTAGTGTGTTTCATCGCATCACTGTCAGTGGCAATGGGAGGTTATAAACGAAAACATAACCGCTTTTAGAAATTATAAATAGTGATTTTTAGTAATTAAAACAATGTCGTAGGTAAAGTAGTGTACGCAACTCGCGTAAATAATGTTAACACCACTCGTAGAAGTTTTTAAGGCACTCGCCTTTTAAGGCTCGTACCTTAAATTTTCTACTCGTGTTGTTAACACTATCTTTACGCAATCGTTGCGTAAACTACTATATATTAAGGTTTCTACAAATATCAAAGTTCATATCCATTTATTCAAACTTAAGTTTTTAGTTTTACTTATTACAATATGAAACAAACGTCAATAATTCATATGTTTAAACTAATAGAAAATATAAATATGCAAAGGACATTTGCTTAAAAATCCCAAATATAAAAAGATAATCCTTTATGACCCACTTAAACCAACTAAAAAGTACTTTTTTTCAAATTATAATAATTTAAAAATATTTTCTACCTATTTTAGGTCTAGTTAGTTTTATATTAATTTTACCTTTGGTTTCCTTAGCATTCGCTAGTTCCAGCTCTGGAAAGTCTTCTTCTGGTTCCTACTCAAGCAAAAGTGGAAGTAGCAGTAGCCATCAAAGCAGCAGCAAATCCAGTACTAAGGTCACAATTCCTGTACCTAAGATTAATACTATCACAGCAGACAAACGGCTTCAGATAATGAAGAAAAACGCAGCAAAAAAACAAGAAAAGAGAAAACTACCCAAATAGGTCGTACAAATTATGGGCTAGCCATATTTTATGAAACTATAACCATAAACAAGCAATCTACAACAGTTCACTTATTCTCCATGAGAATAACGTAGGAATTTTTAAGTTACAGTTTTGAACTTTCTCTGTGAGTATTTAGTGTACTACAAGGCTTCAATATAATAATATTGAAAAGATTGATTGCAAAGATTATGTTTTAAAGGTAAAAAATGGGAAAACCCATTTGACCCCGTTCTCATAGTCCGATTATGCTGGTTGCTTGAATTTGTTTGAATGTAGGTTTCCACTTTTGTACCAAATTTAATCTAAATCGGGTGATTTTTACTAGAGTTTGGTAACAATCACATATTTATGTATATGTGTGTGTGTATGAATTTGAGCGGATTGTGTTTTTGGCCTTAATGGGGACCTCAAAACAAAAGTTTATATACCGTACAAAAAACTTTTTTCCTACCACTCCATGGAAATGATCACATTACCATACCTGTAAATAGTACGCAAAATTGCTCATTGACATTGCCTCTTGCTAATCAGCTGGTTTCACAGTTGTCGTTTCTACACCAACCACAGACGCAAATCTGGTAGGTTAGTTAACAACCGGTAAGCAAATAACTTTCTGTGTTATTATATTGTATAATAATATAATAAAAAAATAACCTAAATGACATTTTATATACATCTAAAAAGTTAATCTGTGTTATTATAAGTTAATTATAGTGGTAGGAAAAATCTTGTGTGTATTATGAGCACAAACAGTCATTGCCGCTCTCGAAATGTGTGTCCGGAGTTGAGGCCATCTACAGTTCTCGACCGGTAATGATGTACTTTGCGCTCTTTTCACACAAATATTTATTACCACACAATAATCAATGACAAATCTATATTTGTGTATGTGTTTGTTAAGTTATTTAAAATTTGTTAAGTGTCCGTTTTTAATACATGTTTATATGTTACTGGGGTGTATTTAATGCCCTGAGTATGTTTGGTCCAGTATGTAAGTCCGAGTTTAGTAATTTATTAATGTTACATATTTTAAATCTTAAATTAATGTTTGCCAAATTTTAAAAATACTATTGTTTGATTGTCACTTTTGTCATTCCGTTTGGAACTTATTTGAAGTTTAGTTTATACTGCATATAATTCAAATAACGTTTGAAGGTTATAATAATGATGCTGTAAATATTTATCATATATCTTTTAATGTTATATTTTAGTATTTTACCTATATTAAACTATTGTTTGTTGTTACTTTATGTATTTCAAAACTATATATAACTCACAATTTTGTAAAAATATATAAAACACAAATAAATACTAGTTTAAATTATTTTTATAAGACTTTTTTTATTATTCATTCTGATAGCCCCTGAACTACGAATTATGACTTATATAGGCTTACCTCCGTCAGTAGTCCAAAATTGTGTCTTATTTCAACTAACGTTGTTCAAAGCTTACGGTACATGTTTCGTTGCACTGCAACATCGTCGAAGCTTTATTTCAAAAACATCAAATAATTTAAACATAGAACAAAACACGGAACACAAAACATTTAAACATGAAATAACACGATAGCGCTATCATGACACAGCACGGCAGCGGTTGTAGGTAGACTGGACACGGGTTAAGTAACTTCGTCCCGTCCTTCTCTGTTAAACATAAATGCTCCTATTTAACTCAATTGAACCAAGAAGCCTGGTGACTGCCAGCCATTGTTGTGTCACCATGCATAAAACCACCCTAATAGTGTCGGAAGTATTTAAATATTCATACACTTGTTGAATGTCCGAGAATGATCTTGTAACAATTATCTTCACTGTTTTATCTCAAGATCAGGTAACTAGTGACCAAAAGCATGACCGATGTCTGAGGTAGGCTGGCCGAGCTGTCTGCCCATGTAGACCAGTAGTTACCCCACAGTCTAGGGTCTGCTCTTGGGTCACTATTGGGACGAGGGGTAAGCACCAAACCTTCTCTGTACCCCTCTAGAGCTTTGACTAGATCACGTGCTACGTCGGAGTGAGCTACAGACAGATCTAGGGTTTCACAAGGGTCGGTTTCCAGGTTGAACAGACAGTAGTGTTGGTCACATGGGTGTGGCGTTGAGTGGTTCAATACCAGAGGACACCTAGAAAATATTGTTGTTAATTAGAGAACTTCTACAGATTTTTTACTGTTGATGTTTGGTTGAGGGTTTACCTAAATGATGTATAGATAATTGTGGAAATTTTTCCTAACGAATATAAAAAATGTATGACGTTTTGCGATATAGAATCTGACCCTTTCCTCAGGTGGGAAAATATTAAAACATTACAAAAAGTGTGCACAACCCCAGTCGAAGCTGGAAAACCCAATATAAACAGTATAAGCGTCAAAACATAAGTTCAGTACAAAAAAAAACATAAATGCACTTAAATAAAAACCTTTATGCAAAATAGGATAGTAGCACTATTGTAGAAGTACACACATACAGTGGTACTGTAGTATGAGAGTATGGGAGTAAGTAACAAATGTAAATTAGAAGACCTCACTTGGAAAAGTAAGCACAAGAACAACTTTATAAATCCATTTTGTTTTTGCTGTCCTGCAAAACCTGAACAAATTTGTTACTCTTAAGTTCTTAAAATTTGTTAAGGTGTCCTATTTAAAAGCGCATAAACATCGACTTACAATGTGTCTATTGTTGCTGAAGATCTCAAGGCTAGGATCTCATTGGTAGATTTGTGTAGAGATATAGCTTTGGCAGCTGTACTTTTAAGAACCTCTTCAACAGAGTACGGCGGAACTTCGGCCCCTTTTCCACTTTCCCCTGCATGAATGTTGAATGTAGGATTACTTGAAGCATCTGTAAATAGTCAAAACGGTCAACGTTAGTAACAAGACCAGGGTTTGGACCATTCCCTTACAAAAAAAAAAATGTTTTAAAATAATGCAAAAGTTGATAATATAAAAAGTTTAATAAAAGTGTTGAAAATGTTCACTTTTGGATTTTCACTTTATTATTTTGTCTTTATCTGAAGGTGGTTTGAGCCAATCTTAAGTTGTGAGTCCACCTATATGGAAAATAAAAAGATTAGTTTCATAAAAATAATTAAATATAGACTGTCAGCCGTGCTGCGGTTACCATGGTTACGTAGCGCTACGCCGTAACTACATGGCACTCCCAGTGGTGTGCGCCAGAACTTATGGTAACCGCAGCGCAGCTGACGGTCTATATTTAATTCTTTTTGTGTATGATTTTATGCAAAAAGATTCTCTTTTCATAGGATCTTCTTACAATTGAGGCTATGAATTGAAGACAACACACTTCTGATGTAGGATAGAGCGCAATGGGGTAGTTTAAAGATTGTTGGAACAGCAGGCATATCTCAATGGGAAAGAGCCTTTACTGGTACAAAAAATAATTATTGTGTTTAAATGTTTAAATTTTTTGTTTAGGAAACAAATGTCAACTCAGTTCTGTTGTACCTCTGTGAGACTTGGAAAGAGTCCAGTAGAAATGACTGAGCCATCCAGATCTTTGTTAACAAATGCCTCAGGTCAATTTTAGGAATAAGATAGCGTGGTCATTTCCGATGAAGAGTTAAGGGTCAGAACCAACCAAATTACACTCAAAACAAAAATTAAAGAAAGAAAGTGGAAATGGATTTGTCATACGCAAAGAAAGAGAGAGAACGAGCTAGTGAGAAAAGTCCTGGAGTGGAATCCCCAAGATCAAAGAAAAAGGAGGAAACCAAAAATAACTTGGAGGCATACAGTTTACCAAGATCTGCGGCAGGTTGGGAGGTCATGGCTGGAGATGAAGAGAATCATTCCCAACCGAGAACGCTGGAGAGGTCTGGTTGCTGCCCTATATTCTTCGGAGTAATAACAGGAAATAAGTCAAGTAAGTCAATTAGGCCTACATTTTTATGATTCTTGTTTCAATATGGATTCTTTCCCATTCCGATAAGCCTGCTTTCCCAACTTGCTACTTGTATGTACCCATTTAAAAGGGAATTTAGGAACATTTCTTACATTTGACTATTTTCCAAGGCCACTGTATAAGTGCCTCATTCCCATTGACGTTGTTGAGTTCCACCAGTATTTCTGTACGTTTGGCCGTTGATTTTCCGTCTCTTAATGTCTCCCATTGACTCACACCATCCATCTCCCCCAGATCTTCAGCTGCTCCTCCTGTACAGAACAGAGTGTTTTTTTTTTTTCAGATAGAAATAAAAAAATAACTTGTGTAAGTTCTACAATTATTTATCCATACAATATTATTGTGTTTGATATCTTATTTGGTGTTTATAGTATTAACAATATTTGAAAACACTGGTCTTGTACAATATCTATTTTTTACAGCAGACCCTTTCTTCAACCGACCCTGAAATCAATACCAGGGCCACTCTCATTAACAAGTTAGCTGCGGGCCACTCACTGGTGAGTGCTCTAGTTTTTTTCTGCCACCCTGAACGCTCATCCGTGAGTGGCGACATCGCCTACATCCCATTAAATTTCTGCGCAGCAGCACACCGGGAAGAACGGGTATTTTTATGTCTGTGTTTAGGGTATGTCTCTGTCTTTATGTGCGACATAGGGTACTTTATTGTGGTGCAGGTTGGTATTAAATTTCCCCGTAAAATCTCCTTCTGGCATGCTCAGAAATCAACTTGTCCCATCTTTCTCCCTCAAATTGGCAATGCAATGGGACAGGCTAGTTCCAGACAGAACTGCTGTGAATGATTCAGCAAACTACGTCAACTCTCGTTGTAACGCAGAATATTACCACACATCATTTGCTATTCATCAGACCGAAATATTTTAAAGCCAAATGGGTTCGTTCGACGCTGCTCCGCACTGGGGCTACGCCTGCCATTGATGGGGCCGCAGCGAACGTGTTAACCAGAGGAAACATTCAATGGTACATTTGAGTGGTATGTATGTCTTGTAGTATGTCGGCCTTAGTCACTAACAAGACTACAAGATCGCGCCACTCATCATATTTTGGTAAATACGCACATAGTGGGGTCCCCATCTTAAATAATTGATAATTGATCATTGGTGTCTAGGGTAAAATTCATCATCACACCCTTCGCCCTCATGTACTACAACACTCACGGTGGAGGGAGACCCTGTGCTATAGGAATTCCCGCACAGTGCTTGCCACTTAGGCTTTTCCTTGCTTGTCTCAAGTATATTTCCTGCACTATATACCAAAACTGAAAGCGCATGTTTTTCCATAAGCATGTTTCCTCTGTTCCTTACTTTTCTATAGTAACCGGTAAACATAGACTTTTGACAGTACTCTTTTTAAGTGGGTTATTTAACTACTGTACACTACTTTTGAATAAATAAATACTACAGCTGATCCACTATAGGATGTCTACTTCAGTATCCAATATTCAATGGTTCCATAGTACAGTATTATGTGTTATAGTTAGTTTACCAGCTGCTGTGTACAAGGTGGGTAGCCAGTCGACCATGTGTATCAGCTGATCAGAGACTCTGCCTCCAGCCACCAGGGGGCTCCACAAGACTGACGCCACACGGACTCCTCCCTCGTGACAAGACAGCTTCATCTTAGAGCAAAAGATTACACATTGACTATGTAATTAAAATATACATAATCTATGTATATAATCAAATGTGTTATGACACAAATCTTAGACCTTACGACCAGAAAAGTACCTTGGCCGTGCTCATGATATGTGATCAATAGGACTAATTAGTTTAGTGGTTTACTGGTTTTGGAAACAATAAAATGCTCTCTGTTTTAAAGTTTTGAGAATTTTCAGCCCATATGATTTCAAATGGTTTTGGCTTATGTTTCTCTCTATGAAGGTCGTACATATTTTTTATACTTAATGCGCTAAGGGATTTCAGAGTAACATATCTTTTTCATCTATCCTACTTAACTGATGTTTAAGATTGAGATATCGTTTAAAAGCTTATGACCTAGTGGAGTGACAAGTGGTAATTAAAAAGGTAATCATTTTAAGGCGTTAACCTCCATGGAATTTGATTTGTTTCTTGGTTTCCTTGCTGCTGACCAAATTTCTTTATAGGGGTTTTAAATATGAATTCTAATTCAACAGTTGATCCTCCAATTGAATGTTTGAAGGCCAAAGGGTATTGTATTATTCGTTTTGTCTCGGAAAAAAGTTATAAACCTAATTAAAATACCCAATTTGAGCATGGCGCCCTCATTAAAATATATTTCACTGTCGGTGACAACAATTTCAACCAAAAAAGGTTTTAGTTCTTCAGGAAGGACCTTAGACCTTTAAACTTCAAGAAATTCTTTTTCCTCAAACCTCCCTTGGTTGGAAATGCAGTGACAGTTAAGAGTTCTATTTTGGGTATAATAAAGTAGTGATAATTATGCTTCATGGACTCTCTCCCATTGAACAAGCCTGTTATCACAACAAAATTGCTTAACATAAATGGAATACACCTATTTAACCTAACTTACCCCTCTAAGAGGCCAGTTTGAGCCGTAGTTCGAGTAGTTCCATCGAGGGTCGAGAGTTGGAGCTCCATTGTCGGAGGTAAACAACACGATCGAGTTGTTGAGCATGTTACGCGAACCCAGAGCCTCGACTATAGCTCCGACTGCATCATCCATCCCTCTTACCATTCCTGAGAAACATGATGGTATTTTACTACTGATCTGAAGTGTAGGTAGACGTTTGATGTTTAATGGAATTGTGAGACCTCAAACAAGTATTTGTGGAGTATTATAAATGCTAAATCTCTCGTCTTTCGTACCATTCCTGAGAAGCTCGGTAGGTTACATAATTTACAAATTATGATCTTAAGTTTAGAATTTAGATGTTTAATGGAATTGTGAGAAATCGAACAAGCATTTGTGAAGTATTATTAGTACTAAAGCTCTCGTTTAATGTCCAAGTACATATTGTATACAAATTTTAATTTCAGCTGTATTTTCAAACGAGTAAAAGAAAGTGTATACAACAATGTGGATAACGAATCATAACTTTCATTTGGTCACCAAAACCTTTGAAAGTTTGACATAGTTTTTTTTTTTGTATTTTTACCATGGACGTGCATTTTTGTTCTTGGAAAATGAATCCCGTATTGTTAATAGGTACCAATGAATGTACTGTACTTCATTAGCGTGAATTTTCTTTAAATTGTAACCTGAAAAAATTTTAATTGATGGTGCTTACCTTTAATGATTAGAATGAGAAGTTAAATAAAAATGAATAGGCCTACAAATTTATATAGAATTCCCATGAACCACATAGTTGTGCTAATGATCATATAATCATAGGAGTATTAGTTAAGGTGTACTATACAGCTTATAGCTAATAAACCGGATCTGAGCTATTTGGCCAATTAAAAAAAGTTACGAAATTTAAAATGGGAAAATACCAAGTTTTAGTTACCTATCCAAGGTTAAGAGATCAACTCACACAAACATTACAGTCAAGTTTTACAACCATTGAAACAGGAAATATCATGATATAAGATTATTCCCATTATCTCCAGACAGTGGAGTTATCAACATAAGAATGCCTTAAGATAGTAGATTATCCTTTTATAATCTTTGGGGAGCGAGCTGGCGTAGTGGCTAGAGCGCGGGACTTCGGTCCGTGAGGTCCCGGGTTCGATCCCCGCCAAGTCACCAATGGATTTTATCTAAGTGATAATGCCGCAACCCCTAGGTCTAGCCTGAAGTAATGTGAAAAACAATCCCAGGCTCGTGCCTAGCGTCCTAGGAAAAAAAAAAAAAAAAGTGCGGTAATAGCAAGCAGTGGCTTGAAAATGTCAAGGACAATTTTATTTTCCTGACAGTGAATTTAAGATGAAACAACTGCTAATTTTTTTTATGTACAAAAGGGGTCTGTCTCATATTCCAAATCAAAATGTTTTTGCTCAAATATTACAGATAAATAAAATCGTCTACCTACAAAAAATTAAAATTATTTTCTGGTATGTTTACTTTTAGTCCCTACATTTCTTCAAAAATATGATCGTACCCACAGAGAAGTAAGGTACAGAGGATACAAGCATAGACTAATCAACACAAGTAGACTCCTCATCCCATTGTACATTTTGAAGCTTGTTTGTTGTGTCTAGTTCATGTACGTCCACACAGATCGCTAGTGTAGACAAAACTTTGTTTCTATTATTTTAGGGTTATTTTCATGATTTGTGCTTTACTATTTGGTTATATGACTTGAAGACCAGTTATTGTTTATGATTATACAGTTTTATTTGGTTAAATGATGTTTTAAATGACTGAAATATCAAGAAAAAAATTTTAAACAAAACATAACCTCTACAGTTGGACGTACAGAACTAACAATAAAATTGGCTTCAGCTGTTCCATAAGGATGACAAATGTACTAAGGGAGTATGTTTTATCTATGATACAAGCTTATGGGACAACCGTGCGCTATCAGCTGGTATGTTGGGGCAGAAATATACTTGTGACGAGCAAGGAAGAACCTGAACGGAGAGCACTGTGAGGAAATTCGCACAGGCTCAGGGTCTTCCTCCACCGTGAGCGTTGTAGTAGGGCACATTTGGGCGAGGGGAACAAAAGGGAGTCATTGCCCTAGACACCAGCTTTAGCGCTAGACACCACTTAAGTGTACCATTAAATATTGTCTCTGTATCATTCTTTAAGTTGTACCCAAAAAACGAATCATGTCAAAACTTTTTGACTAATCGTAATGGAATTTAGTGTAAAAATTAATTGTTAAATTCTGATTGTACTGTAATCTTTTTTGTAAAATTTTCATTGTTATAAATATATACGAGTCATGTTTTTTAAGTAAGTACCGTTTTTAAACTTCTCTGTTCCAGCGCTGCGATTGGTATTTTGGACACTTTCGCTGTATATGTGCATCTATTGGCAAGCCCTAGCCGGAAATTTGACAACAATCGGCCGTGTTTACATCCGGTATCGAGCATTCAAAATGGTGCCGCCAATTGAGACTGCCGCCGACTGTGAAGTGCGCGCTGTAATTAGATTTTTAAGTGCTAAAGGTGTGAAAGCCATTGAAATTTATCGACAGATTAGTGAGGTGTATGGCGAGAACATTTATGAGTGACGGAATGGTACAAAAGTGGGTAAGGGCATCTAAAGACGGCCCCACCAACGTTCATGATGAGCAAGGTACTGGGGACAGTAACGCTGCCCAGTGCGTTGCTCATAATGGACGTTGGTGGGGCCGTAAAAAAAAAAATCTTAATGGAAAGTATCCACAATAATCCCTTAAACATAATAAATCGTACCTGCATATAGTCTGCGATGAAGATCCTTGATGTAGTAGTGTTGACGTTCATTTTCCGCCAAATTTCGTACTTCAAACTCCGAACCTTTGTTGCCCGTGTGAGGCGCAGAAAGAGCAACTTGTAAGAACAAAGGACCATCTGTGACGTCATGGGACTTGATGATGGATGTTGCCTCCTGAAATGATTTGTTGAGATGTACTGTGATTCAAGAAAAGTTTTTAAAGGTTCGAACATTTCAACGTTCCTAAAATGTTTTGAGTTTGCTGGATGATTATATTCAGAAAATGAATTCCTTAGTTGCATTAAACTTTAAACTAATATTTTAAAATTTTTAGTTTTTATGTAAAGATACTTTGGGAGTCTGTTCTTTAAGCCAATTGTAAATTTATTAACAAAGAATATATTTTCAATGCAGTAATCAAATAATTGTATAGTTTGCTCTCTGGATCCTCAGATCTGGTGTCAATGATTCAATAAATCTCCTTCGTTCACCATCCTGGTGAGATTTAAAGCAATTATTATTATTATAATGGTTATGTTCTTCAACTATTCTTGATCTCAATTATAGATCAACAAGATGTCTACACAAATCATCAATCAATTATCTACACTATCAAGAAGGCAAATTGTACAGTTTTATCCAAGTCAGAAAAAGGCGCTCAGCTGATTTGAATTATTTGTAAATCACCACAACCATGAACTCCGAGTAGTTCTGCAGAATTAGAAGCGGGGACAACTTATCGACATAAGTAATGCAAACACGTGTACATTGATAAGACATATACTCAATTGTCAGGTAATTTGGAGTAAGCTACATAAGTTTCCATTGTTATTATATAAACAAAATGCAGTGTACCTCTGCAAAAAGATCGGTTGCATAGCGACCCACAAATTCTTCCCAAGCCCCAGCATTGTTCCGACGAGAGTCAATTCCACCAACGCCCTGAAAATCAAAACAGTTTTGTTATTTTGATCATGTACATCTATATTTTTGTTTGTTTGTTTCATGTTTGTATTCACACATTCATTAGTAAAAAGGTAATTTGGGACAAGTTCCAAACTATAAAAAAGTTTGACTTCTTTCAGGATTAAACCATCGACCTTTTGATCGTCAGGTGAGCACTTATCGTTCAGTTATACAAACTCTTTCCAGTACTCCAGGTATGTTAACTTTTTATAGGTAGAGGTAACAATAAAATTAAACTAAAATATGAACACTTAACTTAAGCCATTGATAAACTAAAAGTGACTTACGTCTAGATGGATGCCGTCAAAGTAGCCAAGGTAGCCGTTCCAAAAGCCGAAGTGAGATTGGAACCCGCGACTACAGGGAAGGTACTCAGTCTTGTGGCACCCCAGATGCCATTTGCCAACCAGGTGTGATCGGTACCCCAGTCTGGATAAGTACTGGAACCCAGTGAGGAGGCACAGTTTTACGTTTCTTGTTGAGCTACACTCACATAAATATTTTAAATTATTTATATATATTAGGGATGGTCAAGTCTCGAAATTTTCGGGAAATTTTAAATCTCGTTACACGAGACGAGATTTCTTTTTGGCCGAGATTTTTATCGAGACGAGAATTAAAAAAAAAAAAAAAAAAAAAAAAAAAAATTAAAAACGCCTGCAGAAAGTCAATGCAATACCCGCAATACAGGAGCGTGTTGTAGTTGCGTTTCCTTTGCGAAGGCGTTCTTATTTAATTAATTCTTTAAATGTAAATATTACTTTTTATTTGAATAATATTACTTTAATAACATTTGAGAAGTTTTGTTAAGTGTAAGCAGTGTAAGGAATGTTTTATTTCTATAAAAAGTCAAAACAAGTAACTATTTTATAAAAATTAATATTGCTTTTATTTTATGATTCATTTTATTTTGGGATAAGTTGAACTCTATCCTAACTGATATCACTATGTTTCCTAATCAGGCATTTTTAATAAGTTAGGCGTGATTAATAAAAAAATGTTATGCTGATGTTTTTTAATAAAAGATTGTAAATATTCTTGCCTATTATCATTATTTTTGTATTTAACAGTCATCTAACAATGTTACAAAATCAGGTAAAAATTTTCAACGTGTATTTCCCGTTGTGTATGAGAAGGGAAATCCCGTCTCGATCTCGTCTCGAAATTTTAAGAGAAATAAAAAATCTCGTCTCGTCTCGTCTCGAACTAAAAATCCAATCTCGTCCATCCCTAATATATATATATTATATATTTAAAATTTGTAAATATTTTTTGTTATGTGATTTTAAAAGTTAAACTTAATCTACTAAGGATTATCTGTGGGAATCATCTTAAACTAGATAAACTACGGATTTTTACTTGAAATAACATATTTTATATCTCAAGTTAGTTTAAAATGTTTATAATAAGCTGAAATATGAATCTCAACGTTGAGATTTAAAGTTTCTTACCTCGGGTAAAAGTGTAAAATGAAGCGGTAAAGCTGAAGTTGTCCCTGCTTTAAAAGGCATCTGTACTCCTAAAAGTCAAAAAGATTTTCAAATATTAGTTTGGTTGTCATAAATCTATAAGCATAATTACAATATAAACTAGGTTTACTCTGTAAACCGCTTTTTCTCCTGTCCCACAAAAACGATTGCTATGATTTAGTTGTCATTGACTAGCTTATGATCTAGTGCAGGGACGAATCGACGAATGGCACGTAAAGGTTCCTTTAGGGTTTCACACCCCCTAGCCTTAGATTTATTTCCTAGACTGTGCTTTCCAAAGTCCATGATGTTCTTCTAACCAACTTTCCTGATAACAGTGTTAAAATATGAATTGAAACGTAAGCTGATTACGTTCGGTCTAATTTTCAACCGCAGTCAGATTGAAAACAAGAGACGAAATAGTTTAAGAAAATGGATTTTATTTAAATAGGCTACTTATATTGATGATTGTAACCTAATTAAGGAAGGTAAATCACTCTTTATGTGTAGCTCATCAATCAACATTTGTAAATACTGTAAATTAGTAGTTGTATTCATCCCTTGTAACTGTCCAAAACAATCTATAATATTAAAACAAAACATGGTTTTTTTATTTCACGATTCTGAATCAACCACTTGACGGATTTTCATGATTTTTGTGTTGAAAGAAAGATAATTTTGAGAACTAGGGAATGTCGAAGCCATAATTTTAGTTTAGGGTCCCAGTTTTTTAGAAATTAAGTTTTAATTTTCAAAAAGTCTAGCAGCCGACGGACGAGTTAAAGTCGTTTAAGTGGTGGTTTAGCTAACAGCTGGTTTCTAACTGTCATTGAAATGATTATGTTACAAGTTGTTTGTATACAAAAATATTGATCCAGAGTTTGCCTACACACTATTTTACTTTAAAATGCAGTTTATTACCTACCGTAAAAGATCTTTGTTATCAGGAGATTGTGTAATTTTGAACTAAACATTTTAAACGTATAATCAAGTTTTGTCATAAATGCAATCCATCGAAGTATGAGTGCTTAATCCTTTAAGATATTATGTGTTGATACATCTTTTTCTAGATGTTTGAATATACTGTAAGTATGATTGCATACAGTACACATTTTATTCGTAATGAAAATATCAACCGGTGTAGTAGGTCTCCAGAAAACTGACCGCAGTAAGCTGTAGGGTGTCAGTAGAAACCAAAATCGATTCATACCATATCATAACTATCCCAGTAGTACTGTATGATTCAGAAACTTGATAAAGGGACATTCCAAAAGGCTTAGATCTCGAATGGGCTGGGCAGGCTTTGCATGGCGGAGAGAAGATAACTTTTAAAAGTGTATTCCAAGGAGTACTACAAGGTAGACGACCACTTGGAAGACCAAGTAATGAATGACGTCTTCAGACTGGTATCTTCCTTAGAAATGGCAGGGGATAGAAGAGAACGGGAGGCCAGGATCATTTTAGAGGTTTCAGTGGCCAAGGTGGTAAAATAAGGTACGGTAAGTGATAGTAGGCCTATGCAGTGGAAGGTGGTAAGTAGCTACTGTTTTCAAAGCCAGTGTGTGTGAATCGGCCACCAAGTTGTAAACTAGCTGTTCTGAATCATATACAGTTTTAATGGACTACTCGATTCCCGTACGTAGGACGGGTCAAACAGCTCGTCATATATTATTTTATATGAAGATGTTCATTTTTAATTAAACATATTTTAGCTACGAAGTAATATTTAAAAGGTAAAGTATTGCATTATTGGTTTTGCCTCGCAAACATGTTTTGAACGCTATTAAAATGCCCAATCTGTGTAGGTGCCCCTATACTAAAATTTGTAAAGTAGTTAAAAGTTAACACATCTCAAACGTATAGATCAAGAAGATGTAGTACCTGTGTACGCCGGGTATCTACCGGAGAGTAGGGCGGCTCTAGAAGGAGAACAGGATGGCTGAGCGTAGTGACGATTGAGAATCAAACCATCGTAAGCGAGAGCATCAATGTTCGGAGTCGGAATCTGACTGGAGCCGTGAAAACTCACGTCGTTCCACCCCTACACAATATACTGACTAAAAGAATTGTCGCTTCTCTTAAAAAATTGAACTCATTATTGTTAAATTAGAATAAAACTAAGTGGGTGGCGGATTTTATTTTCTTTTTGGAGATAGCTATAGCTTACATAAGAAAATAGTAGCTCGTGCCTTCAAATCTGAAGATCGCTGGTTCGATTCCAGACGATATCGTTACCAGATCCAGATGCCACTTCATTGGGCTATCAATTAATGACGTAATCTTACAAAGTCTATGTTTTAGATAGCAGCAAGAACAGAGTTTGGACCGATTCCTTACAAAAAAAAAAAAAAAAAAAAAAAAATTTTAAAATACCTCTGCCTTAGATAAACAACAGCAGAACCCAAAATATCTATTTCAGGTTGATATATAGTATAGATTTAGCAGCCATTAGTTTTCATATGCAAGGATACTGTGAAAGTGAGCTGTAACAGATTAAATGTTGACTTTGGATACTCCAATCAGACATGTAATTCTATTTATTGTAATTTTAAAGATATTTTATGTGTATTTCATATCCGTGAGTCTATTGATATAAACTAAATGTTTCGCTTATACTAGAGTGAATGTATATTACAGTCAACGCTTTACTTTCGTTATACCAGGAGGTAAACAGAGTAATTAACAAATAATATATTGTTATAGGGAAGATGATCAGCACATCAATCAAACATAATATCTTTAAATTGTCACCAGGTCTATAAGGATGATAAATACAACAAAGTTTTTCAAATTTATGACTATGATTTAGTCTCTTTGAAAATTAGAATGATTAGTGGTGAATATCAGTATTACAATAGTTCACAGATACAGAATTGCAAATTCTCTATGGTTATTTAAAAATATTTTTGTCGTGAATGACACAAATGACAGAGAGAGGATTTTTACCTATAAAAGGAGAATTCCCATGAGTGAGATCTGTTTACTGTTTTATAATGACTGTTATATTTATCTATGTGATTACCTGTATTAGTTTAAGATCCCAAAAATGATAAACAAATTTTTCTACAGATATAATTTTTTTCCAGTAGTGTGGAAAAGTGAAAAAAATACCACAATAATATGTTAGTAGCTAAGTTTTCTTTTTCTACCCTAGGAAAAATAAATTAGTAGTGAAAGGGTGTTAATTAACTTGGAAAACCCCTTTATAGCTAAAACCACTTATCCTGACAGAGTGATGGAATGTTATTTAGCATTCATTCAACAGTAAATAAAAACAAAGTACAGTTACAGTTAACTTCCCATTCTTAAAAGTTGTATAAAACTAAATATGTCTAGTTTTAATGAATATCCTGAAGAAAATGGACTGTTACATTTAAATTAGTAAACTTTAGAAAAGTCCATGAAGAGAAACTGTTGCAATAGCTTTGGGTTGTAGAGTTACATGAAAATTCCAGAAATTACAAGGGTACCAGCATTGCTGGGATATTTATTGTCTTGGCCTGATTTATGTAAAAAGTTGGACAGTTTTTAGTCGGATTTCACAATGGCTCTACTTCGTCCGATTTCCCCATTCTAATAATTAATAGACATGATGAATTAAGGTTTCTTAAGCTTATTTCTTCATGAAAAACCTTATTTTAATTTAAATAATTAAAGCGCGAACTTAAATGGTTGTATACTTTTGGTATACCTATACCATCAAATTGTAGATTTGTCACAACACATTTGTAGACTAACACATCCAAAACAATAAAACTGTAATCATTTTGGCCGGGGAAATTATATAAAACAACTCAATTCTAAAGTAAATTAAAACAAGCAAATCACTCAACAAACCCCACTTTAATAAAAAAATTTATACAGATCACTTTAATCTATTACCATACTTAAGAAAATTCCAAAAAACTGTTTTTGTAATTCAAAATATAAAATAATTTAACTGTGTTACAGCAAAAAATGTGAGTATGTAATTAATCATATTATGTTAATCTATATTATATACCACTAAAAATTACTTTGCCACTCCACTTATAAATTATTTTTATTACGAATAATTTCTTTAAATAAAATTGATTACATTTGAATCAATAAATGTGTTTTAAGACATACAAGGATTGACAACAACCTGGTTAGGCTATATTACGAAAGATTAAACCTACTCCATATTTTAATTTAATTTAGTTTACTTAATTTTAGTAACTATAATTTTAAGGTTATGTCAGTTTTCTAACGTCAATAATTTAATTTAATTTTCTAACCAATAAAAATATTTTAGCTATATATAACTATGTATAAACTTTTCGTATATGGTAACTATAAAAAAATATAAAAAATAAAGACAAATTGTAAAACAAAATAAAACCAAAATGAGAGAAAACCCTTGGCCAACGACTGCACATCAAAATAATATCCAGAAAAATTTAAAGCTTTTTTAAATTTTTCAAAATAAATACCAGCACCAGCAGGTATATTATAATAATAAACATTGAAACGTTTGGAAAATAGGATGAGAAGTCCAACGTCCTATTTAAATATTTAAACAAACAATATGTACATACAGCTAATTTTGTAAATAGATTTCCGAAGCCTTAACCAATGCCAATTTTACCATGTTCAAACAATAGATTTACCAAGTCGTCAGCAACGATGATAACAATGTTGGGGGGTTCAGCACATACGACAGCGAGGAGGAAACATGTTAGAACACGAAACATGTTTTCACTTAGCACAGTTTAGTAGTCTAAATATACACAATTTTGACACGAAATATGTTTATTTTACGTTCCGTCTTTAAATTTATTAGTTTTCGCGCACTTTTCCCAACACCCGCGCCGTGACTGAATATTCTCTGGAGGAAAATCTGAAACTTATCGACCTTCCGGGCAACCTTCGCTTCGACTGACATAGGCCTACTTCGCCTGCTGCACTCCCGCTAGGGTTATGAAATCTAAAACTACGGTCGCCTGCTTCTGCAGAAGATGATAAGAGAGTTAACTTATCTGTTAAGTCCGTGCATGTTCACTACGAAGTGAAATTTTGCTACGATAGTTACGGCGTTTCATAATCACGAATATTAGAACAGCTACGCAGTATTGGATCATATAAACAAATACGTCACTAGCCTGAAAGTTAACACTGCGACGTATTATTGGAAAAGAAATGTTTTAAAAATGTCAAAACCATAATCTTATCCATCTATCTGTCTATCTATCTATATTATTAATACGCTACATGAAACTTTGTAAACAATAAGGCTTTTTTGTTTTAAGATTTAACCTCACTTATTATATAGGCCTAGTAGGCGGTCTAGGTGTGTAGATTTGCAAACTGACCTTACATTTTTGATAAAGTCCCTTGGGCTCTACCCCAGTGGCTTTTAAGTCCCCATGTTATCCTTATGAAGAACATATTTGTTTACATTCTGATCAGCTGAAACTGGACAGTTTAATTGTTGTTAATATTTTAGTTGCAATTGAAGAAAAAGTGTGCTACAAACATTTACTGACTTGGTTGAAATGGAATATTTAAGATATTTACAAGAAATGTTGATTATATCGAACTTTTTATTTAAATCGTGAGTATTTCCATAATATTTGAGTCGACTCTAAAGTCATCGGAAATTGTGTCTGTTATTCGTTTTAAAATAACGCCTTTAACTTGTAATACTTCGCAATAATTGCTCGAATTCGAGCAACAAGTACACTAGTCCATATATGAATCCCAAAGTACCCATGAACTTTTGATAAAACTAAAAGTCACAACCCCATAAACCGTATAATGTTCGTCATGACGAGAAACCTTGCGCAAATCTATCCATTATTTCATAAATGGTCGTAATTCCATTCTAAAGGGAACTTCCCGTATACCTAACGTTAAAAATACCTCAGCTGTATTTTATTTATTTTTTGTTATTCTTTTGATTTATTACCTTATTAAAATCAGGTGTGAATATTTGTTTGTATTACTGTATTCAGTTTTGTTTATGTCAGCTTTAACTTAACCAATCAATAGTTTTATTAATACTTATGAAGTCAAACGGGCGAAGCCCGTGTGTAACAGCTAGTTATCATAAGATTATTTATTTGTTTATGTTTATGTTTCATACACTTTCTGTTTAAATATTCGTGATCATAATCGTCCTTGGGTAAAGTGCACTTATCTGGATGCCATTTATTTGAGGTATTTATATTTTTTAAGTATTTACTGAGCTGAGATATACTGTTTAAGGACAAATGTTCGTAAGTGTCTAACCATGTTTCCTTTACTTCATTGCCGATCAGCTGATATGCATTGTTGCCTAGGTGGTTTTTTCATCCTCAAGGTGATTTCACCAGCTGAACGAGTAGCACGAATACTAGAAAAATACCGGTATGGATCATTAACATAAACAAATGACGTTTTTGGCCCGAAAATAAACATGATTTAACATTGCTTAAATGGAACTGCCAAAACATATGTTCAATGCTATTAGTATAGGATTCGGGCCAACAACGTCATTTGTTTATGTTTATGATCCATACCGGTATTTTTCTAGTATTCGTGCGAGTAAGTATACATTTCGTTTTCCACAGATTTGGTTTCTCAGTATTTGCAATTTAGGTTGTGTTAAAACTCCCTGTACTATTTTAGACAAACCCTTCCTTCTTTATTTTTTATAACGTAATATTTAAGCTATTAATCCACACGATGCAAACGATGCTCCTAACGTTACTAACCCAAGGTTAGTTTTTGGAAAAAACAAAACTCAACATATTTTCTACCAAATAGATGTAACCACGGATATTAGAACCAAAATGGTATCGATCATAAACAAAAACAAATGACGTCACTGGCGCAAATATTCTACTAATAATCGTAACAGCTGGTTTGGATGATTTTTGACTGATCCATTTAAATAATAATACAGTCATGTTTACTTTCAGGCAAATTACGCTATTTGTTCATGCAGGTATTCCTGCAGATATATATAATTAGATATGTAGATATATAATTATGATCCATACAGTTTCTGTTATAATATCCATGCAAATAAATACCCCCTCCACAGCAAACCTGCAGGCTAAGCGAATTTCAACTTGTCTGATTAACATTTTACTAAAATATTTCCATAAATAAGAAAAATTTATTCCCAATTTAAATAATATTAGATTTAACGAGTGCTTAGGTTTGCTGCTATGGGGAAGGTAAAAAGTGTTTTTGACCAAACTGTAATGGCATAAGTTAAGATGAAATAAATAAATTTGACAAACTTTATCAACATATATTTACAAACAAGTAAACAACAACAGTTTTAATTTTCTCCATAAGTACAACATGAAAATTTTAAACTTACACTTTTATTAATTTTCTGTGTAACCTTTACAACAGAGCTTCAATATACTAAATTATTTCTTTTTAAGCTCTGCAAAACTGTTTAGAAAGAAATTGCAAAATTTTGTTTTTAGGGTGAAAAACGGGAAAACTCATTTTTACCCTATAAAACCCCCCATAAACCCCCGTTCTCATTTTCCAATCATGCTGGTTCGCGAACTCATTCGAATAAATTATGTAAGTTTACACGCTTATACCAAATTTCATCAAAATTGGGCCATTTTTGCTCCCGTTATCGTGCTAACGGACATATATATATGAATTTGAACGGATTGTGTTTTTGGCCTCTAGGGACATCAAAATGATAAAAGTAAATCAGTTCCGGGGTCAAATCTTACCATGAGACCTACGGTAATAGCTACTTTCCTATAGGGAAATTCGCTAAAAAGAGCTGAATGAGTACAACAACCACTTACTGTCGAATATGGAGACACATACTTTTCTTAAGAGATACTTGCACTACTCTAACTAAAATAATACACACACCACATTCGGTTGCTTTTCCCAAGTTTGAATTCTATGCGAAAATAATTCCTTGTTTGGCCTCTATAAGCTTAAATCCATCAACGGCGATCTGAGTAAACACATAGATCAATCTTGGATTACAGAGATAAAATCTAAAGATGGAACTACATGTCGGTGGCGAATATCAAACAATCTGTAGTCAATATCGCCGAGATCAGAGGCAAATATTCCAACTTACTCAACTACTGAATAACAAGCGAGAAATACTACCAATTGCCTGATGCAGATGATATTGTCAAGGTTATAGGACGAAATAAAACCCTAGGAGTGTGATAGAATGTCAACCATATTGTAGGATGCTAACATTTTGTTAAATTTTCCACTCTATGCAATCCTTCTAATATTATAAATCTGAAAGTTTGTGTGTTGCTCAATCACGCATAAACTACTGGACGGATTGGGCTGAAATTTGGCATGATGCTAGCTAACATTCCCTATTAACATTTAGGCATATTCTTATCTCAAAAATCCTTTCGGGCTCCGCCCCAGTGGGTCTGTAGTTCCCCATGTTAACCTTATGAGTATTCATATTTAAAGGGAATTAAAGAATTTAGTCAGCTGTTTCAACTTTACAAGTTGGTTCTATAATATGCAATAGCATTAAAAAGTTATAAGGTTTCCCAACAGGGTGCAGCACTATTATTATTTTGTTTGTGCATATATGACAACTAACAGCTAATTTGAACTAAGCAGCAACAAAAAGCTGTGATACACAATGAGAACTGTAAAAGTAGGATTGTTTACAGTTAGGTTTGAGTTTTTAATTTAATGAATAATTTGTGATATTGTGCGAGTGTTTGATAATTTATTTTTTTCTATTGTTTAGGTGCAATGGTAGAACATTATGGCAATGGTAGATGTGTTATACTATATCATACCGTAAATTTATGAACCGAATTTTATCAAACTGTGTCCTATCCCCATTGCAAACGCAAAGCTTGAGTATAACTGCAAAAGCATTTTATACTTTATGCTAACCCCGTACGAAGGACGGGTGCTCTGCTAGTTCGTTATAAATTCGAGTTTTTGATTGTCCACGTTTAGTAATTAAGTATTAACTGGCTACTCCGTTTCCCAGACATTATTTTTGGGGAAATAAATCATAAAACAATGGATTTTTATAAACATTTTGGAAAAAAGAAAGTCAATAATGATGAATTATGCACTTAAAAAATAAAACGCCGTATTTGCACAGTATCAAAAATTATTTATTAAATTAAAAACATAAAAATAACTGTAAACAATCCTACTTTGACAATTCTCATGTTGTATCACAGATTTTTGTTATTTGGTTCTAATTAGCTGTTGTCATAAATTTAAACAATTAATAGTGCTGCACCCTGTTGGTAAACCTTGTAACTTTTTAATGCTATTGAACATCACATAATCAATTTGTTTTGTTGAAACAGCTGTTAAGATTATTTAATTCAATTTATTAGTACGGAAAGTAAATAAAAGAAACGTCTTATAACTCTTAAAACATATATTTACGCTTATACTGCTACTCACAAGACGGTAAATATACAAAACAGATGGTAAGTGGTGATCGATTTCGATTGGACACTCCAATCATCATCAGACTCGATTCGCCTATTGAGTCTGATGATGATTGGAGTGTCCAATCGAAATCGATCACCACTTACCATCTGTTTTGTATATTTACCGTCTTGTGAGTAGCAGTATAAGCGTAAATATATGTTTTAAGTGTTATAAGACGTTTCTTTTATTTACTTTCCGTAAATTTAATAACACGTACAATGCTGATCAAGAAGTTATTTATTTATTAGTACTCATTAGGTTAAATTGGGAAACTCCAGAGCCACTGGGGCGGAGCTCTTTTGTCGGATCTGCCACAAACTTCACACAAACTATCCATGAAAAATGCTTAACAATGCCTTAAAGTTTCATTACAATCTTTCGAGCGGTTTCGAAGTCCTGTATACATACATACTTCCTCTGAAATAGATTTAAGATTGATATATACGATATGATACATGTTCCTGACTAATAACTTATCAGCTGTTTTTTAGCCAGAATAATTTAAAGCCTATTGCAACAGCTGGGTCCAGTTTCAAACCATCAAAAAGCTACTTTTATGCCTATTACTTGTCCCACATGTTGACATAAGCGAGAAAAGTCTTTACTCACGGGACTCCGTCTTGGCAGCTTGCTTTTCGCGAATGCGTTTTAAGTTTAAGTTGAAATAAAAATATTTTACCTTATCAAATTTTGACATAGGATAAACGTATTATACACTTAAAGCTGTTTAAGGATTCTTATCAAAATTTTGTTGAAAACCAATCCAAATCTAAACTCCAAGGATGCACTGGAAAGTGTTGGCTTTCATTGCAGTGGCCTTCCAAGGGATTACGAAATAAGGTCGAGTTAGAAGTCCAGTATTGCAGTCTTGAATTTATAACTATTTGCAAGATTTAACACATTAAGTATCCAAAAGGTCGCCGGTTCGATCCTGAGAAAAGGCAGTAGCTTTTTGATGGTACGAAACTGGACCCAGCTGTTCCTGATCATTGGGCTTTAAATAAATGATCCTGGCTAATGAAAGAGCTGATCTTAGTCAGTAACAAAGCTACAAAGATCATCTCACACCATTCTACACTCATCCTTCACTCATATTTGGGTTAGAATACGCACTTAGGTGGCGTCCCCATCTCAATGATTGATTGATAATTGATAATTAATTGATATCAAACAGGCCACTCATTATAAATTATTAATATTAATTGACTTTATATCATCGCCGACCTTAATTGTAGTAAATGGCATGTAATGCATTATATAGAGAAATGTAACATAAAAGCTATTGAAATATTTTGAAGCATTGTTGGTGTACCTCAGCTATGATGTAAATATTTATTTTTTTAATTTTTCTTGAACTTAGTTCATGGTTCAAATAACGCAACTTAATAATGGTAATCAAACGCAACTCACAAAGCTAAAATTATCATTGTTATATCATTGTTATATAATTATCATGTATATGAGTTTTAAAGTTAGTAAATAAAGTAACTATTTAAAATTTTCATTAGTTAATAATTTGTCTAAACAGTGAAACGTATTTTTCCGAGACACTGATAACATGTCCATTATAGAGTCATTAATGTGTCCATCGATATAGGTTAGGTCAAAAGAGAAAAGCAAACATTGTGTAATATCGTGCACATATGTTTCATGTTTGTATTATGCACGAATACTAGAAAAGACCCGATGGTTCATAAACATAAACAAATTACGTTGTTGGTCCAAATCCTATACGAACAGTATTAACATGTGTTTTGGCAGTTCCATTTAAGCAATGTTAAATAATGTTTATTTTCGGGCCAAAAACGTAATTTGTTTATGTTTATGATCCATACAGGTTCTTTTCAAGTATTTGTAGTACAATATTTTATAAACTGTCAAATTTCCTACGTCTTATAATGATTGTAATAATTAATCCTACAATTACCACAACTATTTGAACGGCCCTCAAATAACATGAAGTAATAGATTTTGTAGGATATTCTCTGTAAAAACGGGTTTAAAATAAAACCTATAAAACTTTAAGTTTAGAGCTGATCCCACCGCTTAACGGCATTATCAAATTTTTTCTGAAATCAATTTCTTTATTAGCGGGACTCGGACCCGAATCCTTAGGCCCTAAGACCATAGTCAATGATACTACCCACTACACCAGCGCCCCAAGCCGTACACTATTTACATGTAGAACAATAAAATGTTTAGTAGTCCACAAGAAGATTTGGTTGTCAACAATGCCGGGACAAATAATCTGTCACAACCCGTCAAAATCAGCTGTCAAAATTGTTTGCTCTGAAGATAAATACTTGTTGATTCACCCATTAACATCTTTGTTCTGTTGTGTTACTCGTTATGTTAATACTTGACATTTTATGTTATAGTTGTTTAACACGACTTTCATTTACTTTTGACATGAACAAAGTCGGTGTTTTGATCATTATGTCTGTTTACAATATGGATTGGTGTGGTGAGAAGAAAAACAGGATGATATATTGGATTTCTTAGCCCGAATTGAAAATGATCAGTAAGTTACAACTTAAATAAGTTTTTAGAAATTTTAGTTGTCATTTCTTAGTTTAATTGGATGTTTTTACTTGTCTATCCTACTTTAATTATTTCTCCTCTTGACATATCACCCCCGATTGGATCATCTGATGTTAGTGCCTACCAATTGAGATGGGAACGCTACCTAAAAATAGGTGCGTATACACCCAATACAGTATGAGTGGAGGATGGTGTGATATGATATGACGTGTAGCTTTGTTACTAGCTAAGATCAGCTGTTTTATCAGCCAGAGCCGTTTATTAAAAGCCCATGATCAGGAACAGCTGGGCCCAGTTTCGAGCTATCAAAAAGGTACCTACTCTACTGTCTTTTCTCAGGACAGAACTAGTGAGCTTTAGACTACTAAGCGAGCACTATAACCACTCAGCTTCCCTATCTGAAACTACTTCATATTGCTGATTTACAGATTATCGATCAATTTCCATTTCCGTCTTTTCTTGAAAAATATGTCAAAGATGAAGAAGCTTTCAATAATATGAGGGAAACTGTGGAGCTATCATAAAATATCTTAACCAATGTTAGGATATTGAGAAAATGGATTGAATTTGAAATATTGAAATTACTTGACTCTTCTTATCCAGGTGATACTTCCATTTTCGCTCTCAAAAGGTTGGTTGTAACGCGATAGCCTCTTATGGTGGGATGAATTGTTTACGTAATTAACGCTGTTTTAGGTTTTTAAAAATAATCAAAAACTTGTAGTAGTAAGTCTATTAAGTTCTCACTATGGATTTTACTACTAGATTTCATATCTGAAACTAAACTGAAAATGTGGCGACGTGAAGAATCTAGTACAATTCTTCATCATAGATAGTCAATGACGTATGTAGCCTGATAGATTTTTCAGTTAAGTGAAATTCGGAAATGTTATTTGTCGCAGGGGAAATATGGATTGGAATTTTGATACAGCTAATCTACTTTGCATCGTATTCCTTCGTCAAAATGATACACCCCTAATTATAATATTATACATTCTTAGACGTCAAACTGTTTAAGTCCTTCCACCATGCCATGAATCAAAGAGGTTAGAGGAAAAGTCGTTCTCTTTGTCTAAAGTAAACAAGAAAATTGTTGGTCGTAAAATGTAAACAAATAAAAAGAAGTAGGTATCTTTAATGTTATTCTTATGGGACAAATTTAAAAATAAGTTTTTACGATTTTATAATAACTACTGACCGGACCGGAATCGTCTAAAATTTTAATGGGATCTTTCCAGTGGCATAATAATTATTTTTGCAAAATTTGAACACTATTAGTGCAACGGTTCTTGAGTTTTCGTGACCCTACAATGACATACTCACAGGCAGACAACTAATCTTCGACTCCGCTATACACGATAGCTGTACATTAATTTGGATAGGAGCTCTTAAACTTCCAACATAAACTAATCATTAATTTATGAACAGTAGTTAAAACACTAACTATAGCTAAACTATAACATAACTGTAGACACATTTGTCTACAGTGTGGTTAGAACCAGGATTAAATGAGCAATCACTTTTAAAAAGTAGTTGTAATTAGCACAGTCATTTGTACATATCAACAATGGTAACACAGTCAAAGCAACAACTCTTCCAAATACACTTGGTCAAATCACTTCACAAAGAATCAGAAAAATGCAGGAACTCCATAAGTAGCATGTGGTTGGGGTGGTGGTGGTGGTGGTGGTGGTGGGGGAGGTGGAGGTGGTGGTGGTGGTGGAGGTGGTGGTGGTGGCGGGGGTGGCGGTGGGGGAGGGGCATATTCTGGTTGCGGGGGTGGTGCATATGGAGCTGGTGGTGGAGCATATGGAGCAGGTGGTGGTGGTGGTGGGGGTGGAGGAGGAGGTGGTGGTGGAGGTGGCGGTGGTGGTGGGGGAGGGGCGTATTCTGGTTGTGGGGGTGGTGCATATGGAGCTGGTGGTGGAGCATAAAATACAGGTGGTGGAGCATAAGGTGCCGGTGGTGGTGGAGGTGGTGGTGGTGGAGGAGGAGGAGGTGGTGGTGGTGGTGGAGCATAAGCTGGGGGTGGAGGTGGAGCATATGGAGCAGGTGGGGCGTACGGAGCTGGTGGAGGAGGTGGTGGTGGTGGTGGCGGCGGCGGTGGTGGTGGTGGGGGAGGGGCATATTCTGGTTGTGGGGGTGGTGCATATGGAGCTACAGGAGGAGCATAAGGTGCAGGTGGTGGTGGTGGTGGGGGTGGAGGAGGAGGTGGTGGTGGAGGTGGCGGTGGTGGTGGGGGAGGGGCATATTCTGGTTGTGGGGGTGGTGCATATGGAGCTGGCGGTGGAGCATAAGGTGCAGGTGGTGGGGCATAATATACAGGTGGTGGAGGAGGAGGTGGTGGTGGTGGAGGTGGCGGAGCATACTCTGGTTGTGGTGGAGGTGCATACGGCGCCTCTGGAGGCGGAGGTGGTGGTGGTGGAGGTGGTGGTGGCGGCGGTGGTGGTGGTGGAGCGTACTCCGGTTGTGGTGGAGGTGCATACGGCGCCTCTGGAGGCGGAGGTGGAGGTGGTGGTGGTGGCGGCGGAGGTGGCGGAGGTGGCGGGGGTGGAGGCGGCGCAAATTCAGCAACTACCTTTCCAGGCTCTCCATATACAGCCGCTGGGGCAAAGGCGAAGGAGTACTGAGGCTTAGCCCAGGCAACGCCTGCTAACAGCAGGCACGTTACCTGCAACACAAGATTACATAATTAGTCTACAATCGTATACCATTTAATTTTCCCCCAGATATTTAAATGTTTCATTTACTGTCCCAGACAAAAAATCCCATATCTGTTTCTTACTTTTTTGCTAGCGTGAAATATTTCACAAATTGATGTTATAAGGAATGTTAAGCCTTTACACCTTTACATGAATACACGGGTATTCAGCTATTCCTTGCTTAAAATACGTCGGCATTACGAATGTTACCAAAAGCAAGAAATATTAATCATGTCAAGTCTCTAGGGTATCAAGTATTGGTACACAAATCAAATTATGATGAAAGAGTAATTACCATCTGGCCAAAACATAACCATTACTCGTAATTATACAATGGTCTTTTCAAGAAGCGGGCAACTTTTATTTTTGAAATTTGCTCTACGCATGTGAAGGTTATGTAAATGAGAAATTGTCAGAGTGTATGAACATGGAATGGTCATAAAGAATAGAAATAAAACTTTGTTTACATTTCTTAATGGAAAGAACCTAACCCAACATGTCCCAACAACCAAGCACAAAATACGCTTTGGATGACGTGTCTGCTCCTTACGTTTACCTCTCCCAACCTAACCTAAAAGAGATTAACCTAACCTAACACAACCTAATATAACATGACCTAACCTAATTTTATTTACATCATTTTCATTTCCACAGGGCCAATTTTAATAGTAGCGTCCCTCATTTTGACAACACTAGGATACTGTTTGTACACCTAATAGAAAAATATGTGTGAGGCGTTGGGGTAAAAAATAATAAAGAGGATGAGCGTAAAAACATCCTTTCAATTAACTGTACTGAAACAAGCAGTTAAAAAAACGTTATCTACGAGAACTGTACGGAATTGACCTTAAATTGTCTTAAGTCAGACTACACAAGGGCGACGAATCTAAAAAGAAATAATTTATAATCTACTTTAAAACCTAAAACCGCTGTTAGTGGCCTTGCTACGGCATTGAACCAAATCCGTAATCATAGGAGAAAACTCCTTATCCACCTACGCATGGATTAACATTACACAATTTTATCTAACACATTGGTTAATAACAAACTATATAAATAATTTAGAGTTTATTTAAACCACATGAAGGTTTTTTATAGTCTTTTTAGAAAGTGTCAATTAATATAAGAGGAAATACGAACTTATTACGGAGTAATTTGCACAACAGATTTAAACTAGTTTTGAATTGTATGCTTATCTTTGAATTATAGAATTAACAAAACTTTTCGTTGATCGCCGTGTAGTTAAGGAATACAACAAACTATATTATATTTTTATCTTATCCTAAGAGGATTAAACATTAATCTTATAATACAAGTTTTTTTCAGGTTTGTTTTTGTTTCTTAGGTTGTCTGTATCAATCAGTCTAAGTTATTTAGTATATTTAAATATTGTAAGATCGATTCACTGTGTTTTGTTAAAATTCTATATCTATAGTGGTAAACGAGTAAAAGAATCTCATATTTTCCGAGGTAAATTATGCATTTAAGATATTTTACTAAGAACCAATGTTTGTTAATAAACAAATTTAAACAACCTTTTTTTTCTATCTACATAAAAGAACGTTAACTCAATTGGTGCAAAACGAAACTGATAATTTAATACCAGTAATATGAAGGGTATGTTTAACTTATAACATGTTACAATTTATGCATCAAAATGTTAATGCTGACATTTATAGATTTTTCACACCTTTGAAAATATTAGTGTTATTTTCGGTATTTTGAACTATTTAAAAGCAAACACAATTTTTAATTTATTCTAAACTATGAATAACGGTTGATTCTAAAAAGATTCCCTATTCCTTTTACAAAATTTTAGTTAAAGAAATGTTGCTTCTACTCTTTTGAAACAGAAAAATTAAATAATATAATCGTAATGTTAATTAAGAAACAAATAAAAAATAAAATGTATAAAATTTTAATGAATCTGGGGCCAAATTTACCACAAAAACACTGCTTCGGTGACTGAAATAGATAAGAAAATTCAACTTTCACTAAAAATGTTTAATTTAAACCAAAATTGAATCTGACTAAATCGAGATTGTCAAATAATTAAAATTTATTTTCAAAAATGTCAACCTAAATTATCATAATCGTATGAGTTCTTTTAAAATCTTTTAAATTATTTTAAAGAACAGAAAATTAACTTGGAAAAGTCCAAGTTTTTAACCTTTAGCTAAATTTTTTTTTTTTAAATACTCCATAAATATAATCTCTACTAAAACAGAGTTAAAAAATGTTTTTAAAAACTAATATTTTAGTATCGGATTGTTTAGAAATTATCATTAAAATATAAATAACGTCTAACACAATGGTAAATATGTGCAACCATATTGAAAACTACTTAAAACTAAAACTGTTTATAAATAAATATATTTTGATTTTTCAAATCGCCTGATTAACTTTTTTAACATGTTTCACTTTACTTACCAGAACTCTCATGGTGGAGAAGAATCCGTATCCTAGCTGGAACTGTCTCCCTCACCGCTATATACCCCTTCCCAAGGTCGACCTGGGGGTACTTTCCTGTTGTTCGGCAGACGGACAGACTCCACATGTCGCAACCCCTGCCGTCTCTTGGACGTCCATCGGGCATCCGATCGTGGGAACCGGTCAGTCTGCGGACCACGGGGGTGTCATCCAAAGGAGATGGAATAAATGTATTATTTATCCCATCTTCACATTGTAGGACGCTCGGGGTCGTTCTTCACATTACTTCAGGCTATGACTAGAGGTTGCATTATTTGAGCCATATGTGATTTACGGGTTTGAATCCAGAACCCCAACTTAGATCCCGCGCTTTAGCACTGAATCAGCTCAATCTCCATTAAACATTGATTTCAATTTAGTTGGATGCATATTTTTACAGCATAGTTTTAGTTATACTCTTGCTTTTGATACATGATAAATGGATGTGTTGCTGGATTGAGGCATGTTTTTTAAGTAAGTACCGTTTTTAAATTTCTCCGTTGCAGTGCTGCGATTGGCATTTTGGACACTTTCGCTGTATATGTGCATCTATTGGCAAGCCCTAGCCGGAAATTCGACAACAATCGGCCGTGTTTACATCCGGTATCGAGCATTCAAAATGGTGCTGCCAATTGCGACTGCCGCCGACTGTGAAGTGCGCGTTGTAATTAGAGTTTTAAGTGCTAAAGGTGTGAAAGCCATTGAAATTTATCGACAGATTAGTGAGGTGTATGGCGAGAACATTTATGAGTGACGGAATGGTACGCAAGTGGGTAGGGGCCAGCGAACACAGAAAGGCATCTAAAGACGGCCCCACCAACGTCCATCATGAGCAACGCACTGGGGAGCGTCCACTGTCCCCAGTACCCAGTGCGTTGCTCATCATGAACGTTGGTGGGGCCGTCTTTAGATGCCCTTACCCACTTGTGTACCACTCCGTCACTCATAAATGTTCTCGCCATACACCTCACTAAGCTGTTGACAAATTGCAATGGCTTTCACACCTTTAGAACATAAAAATATAATTACAGCGCGCACTTCACAGTCGGCGGCAGTCTCAATTGGTGGCACCATTTTGAATGCTCGATACCGGATGTAAACACGGCCGATTGTTGTCGAATTTCCGGCTAGGGCTTGCCAATAGATGCACATATACAGCGCAAATGTCCAAAATGCCAATCGCAGCGCTGGAACGGAGAAGTTTAAAAACGGTACTTACTTAAAAAACATGCCTCGTAGCAAATTTTCCGGGCGTAAAGAGACATACAGAACGAAAAAACATGTAGAGAACCATCGAACTAAAAAGGTAAAGAGCAGTGATGGTGTTAAATGTGCTCTGGAAGTCCCTACAAAAAAATACCAGCTCTTTTGAATTGGGGTCGTTAGATTGGATTTGTCACTAGGCCTACTTCAAATCTATGAATTTCGAGTCAGAACAGACTAACTGGGACACAAAAATGTTTTAGTTTTCCTGCAAAGTGATCTGAAGGAAAGTGGTAATTGAGTTTAAGTTTGAGTATGGAATGTGAGCTATAGAGAACCCCCATATTAGGGGACGGAAACTTTTTGTTTTGATCAATATAATTATTCTCTATAGCCACCAGAACAATCATAGGGAAATCCGCTTGCAAGTTGTACAGATAATTGCTAATGATTGGTATCTTGTCAATAGTTCGGCATATGACAATCGATAAGTTAGTTTCATATACACTAACACAATTTATAATAGACGAAATGATTGAATAATTTTTAAAACAGCTGCTTGTATGTATTAGCAAAGTTGAAAACAAGTTGACAGTCGTTTGGATAGGTTATCTTTACAAGAAAATTATTTTTGTTTACTAGCTTAGTTTGTTAAATAATGTTGCAATGTGACTAAAAATATAATTCATCACACGGGAAAAGTGTCTTTTCAACCCTCACTCATTCTCCAACCTCGGCTTCACCTCGGTCGTGAAACTTGAGCTCGGGTCGAAAAGAGTCACTTTACGCCCTAGTGGTGAAATATACTATAAATCAAACTGTAGTAAAATATGTCCTACGACTAAAATAATCATTAATATCGAAAACTTCAGCTGTTACATTGTTCTTAACATCAGATCTATACAATAAAAGGCTAAAAACGTGAGTAAGAACTGTGTTCCGTTTCGATAGAACTAACGATTGTATCTCTCACAAAACAAAATATTCCTATTTTATATAGCTTTCTCATTAATGAGCAATATATTGCTATGAAACAATCAATTATCCTCTAATCGATTCTGGTTATTGATAGTCCACAGTGGTTATTGAATATCAATCTTTACTTAAAGTAGACTACAGTAAAATAATAATAATCAAACATAATACATGGGTACGTTTGCACCAGCTGTTTTTTAAAAATAAATTGGATGGTTGAAAATTATTTTAGAAGACAAACTACTTTAGGTGAACAAAGAAGGTATAAGGCTTTAACTATGCGAATAACTCAAAAGTTTTTACTTTACTTAGCTTGACTTTTGAAGCAAATATTATGGGAAATGTGCCGAAAATTTAGTTAACCAGCCATTTATATGTCGCCCTTCGATTCTCCTTCATTTGAGGTTTTTGGCTTTGCCTTGACTTAAAGAATCATTTTTCACACTAGTTTTGAAACGTAAGCTGAATTTGCAATAAATGTACTCGTTTTTCTTAAAGATATCATTGATAAAACTAAATAATTAGCTGTGTCACTCGTTTGTCAAATTGTGCATTAATAGGTTATAGGCCCTAGCATTTATAATTCCGATGGACAGTATTCAAACAAAATAATGTCCAAAATAATTGATAGAAATAATGATTTCATATTAAATTTACATTGGTACAGTATTTGTGTTAAGTACTATCATTGACTTTATATCTACACAAGTGTTTTTGTGTAGATATGAAGTCAATGGTACTATCCAAAATAGACATTATAATGACAGACGATCAAAAAAATATATATATAATTGCTATCAAACAAATTTAACAATTAATTGTTTGTTTCATCACTAGGGTCTAAAAAAATCTCTTCAACACAAAACTCAAGTTTAACAATCCAGGCAAAACCGATGAGTTTAAAAGGTGGCGAAAAATTGTAGTCGAAAAAATTATACACTTCTGAAACGTGTAACTATAAAAAAATATTGATAGCTATAGGTTTCGTCATACTGCGCAATTTTGTAAGCTAAAGTTTATAGATTCATATTTTGCTATTTCAGTCAGTTAATTTTGTAATGAATGCCACATAATTATTTTACAAGAACATCGACGCATTTGACATATTTTTATGTACAGCGGATGATCTGTGTAACTTTATTACTAAGATCAGCTGTTTATTTTGCCAAGATAATTCAGCTTCAACAATGGTTCAACTCAACAATGCCAAGCAATTGTAAATTGATTGTATCCGACAGGTATTGAGTATTATGTTGGACTAGGTCAAGGGTCAAGTTCATGGAGATTCGGCTATCGGGAGTAGGTCATAAATAATAGCAATAGTAAGCATGTAAATATTACTTACTATGAAGCTTTTAAAACACTAATTCTTATTTAATTTCTCAATTTTCTACTAGCTAATTTCCTATTTGTTAGCCTTTTATTATTAACCATAGCCTCCTCTAATACAATACGTCGGTGCGTGGCAACGTCGCACCATGGGCCATGGGAATTAATAACAAACGTGTAAACATAGGCATTGCGCAGACGCTCCAAGATTAATTTAACGCAACCTCTGTTTCAGTCGGGATTGCGACGTTGCCACTTTTGTCTCACCACGGCCTTGTATCAGGAGGCTATGGTTAAACACAATGGTTTTCTTTTTAGATTTATGCCAACCATCCTAAATGAGCTGAAGTTTAATTTGACTTTCTACTCCATAAAAAAAATCTTAAGCATGTTTTGATTCATGTTTCATGTTAAGTTTCTAATGAATGCGCTCACCGCTCATATGTACTAATTTAATGTCGGTTTCTGTACATTTGGGGCAAATTCGCTTTACCCTTTGGTCATACAATATAAAACAAAACAAAAATTGTTGATACATAATACATCGATTTATTTGGTTACAGTAGATTCAAAGTTGGTGAAACTATAAGAAATAAATAGTTAACCTCAAAACACATTCTACGATTCTACACACGAAACAGAATAATTACTTGGAGTTTTCTTCAACTGGACCATAAGGATGACAAATCTATTAGAGTATTTATTTCTGAAGACCATTATTATGTAGCCTATGTTTACGTTGGGTGACGTTTCTTTATGTATTTATATTTACTAACTTTAAAACTACCTGTATTACGACAAAATAGACTATGCATTCAACTCAAGATATGCATTCGACATCTACCGCAAGTCTTATGGAACGAAATGTCAAGATGGTATGACATAACTGTCCTCAAAAAGTGAGTAAGATAGCATCGCACACTTATCTTAATTTTACCAATGTTTTTCTTGGCCTAAAAACCCAAGTGTGTTAACACCTAATGTGTTATTCTTGACAGAGTTGAGATCTGCTGCGTAGTTCATTCACACTAATGGTGAAAACCTCCCTGGAAGCCCCCGGGTCTGTAGACAATCTGCTAAACTAAGCATACAAACACCTGATTAAACAGCTGTTCGTACTAACAGGTGATCGGACCGGATTTCGGCGGGTTAAACCACTTATTAAGCTGATATAATGGGCTTCTCTAATAAGGCCGCAGCGAGACAAAGTGGAAACGCCGCAATTCCGCGTGTGTCGCTTTTGTTACGCGGCAAGCACATCAGTTTTGTTCCGGGGGTCAGCACTCAGCAGGTTGATTTCGGGGCCGGCCGAAACATCGCTTTTGATCCGCTGCTACTGTATCTCTCTTTTTCCACGAGAGAGGGGGCTGCACTCTCCCCTCCCTCCCCCATATCCTCGCTTTCGCTCTCCAAATTATTTCTTAGGGTAGCGGATTTTTATCCCCCTCGGCAATCGTGACGTTACAAACCAGGGGGTAAAATTCCGGCCTCGAACTTTTGAGTTTCACGACATCAGCTCGATGGATTAAAGGCGGAATTAAACATATATTTTCACGGCAGTGAATTTAATGAGAACACATCAAATTATAAAAACGTAGAGTGTACGGCCCGGATTTCTACCCCCGGATTTTTACCCCCCGGATTTTTACCCCCGGATTTTACCCGCGGAATTTTACCCCCCGGATTTTTACCCCCGGAATTTCACCCCCTGGCCAGATATATAAATTAGTGAGAATGATTAATTATCTTCATTCTGTTTTAATTTAATAGTAAACATTTTATTATTAAGTAGCCTATATTAATTTATTTGTAACATTAACTAATCGAACAGTTTTTTTAATTTTAATTTTGAGATTCTAGTGTTAGGATTCGATCTTTGAAGCCAACAGTTGGTTAATATGACGTATAAAAACAATCAACTGAATGATAATTGTTTCGAACATTTCTTTACAAAATAAATAAAGATAGACTATAAATAATGAAATGTTTACGAATAATTAAAAACAGTAATAAGAAAGTCAATCATTCAATTTCTAAAATCGGTCAGGGGGTAAAATTCCGAGGGGTAAAAATCCGGGGGTAAAATTCCGGGGGTAAAAATCCGGGGGTAAAATTTTGGCCCGTACATCTTCAGTTGTCTAAACGCTAGTTATATGGACAAGGGGTAAAATTCCGGTTTTTATCACTAATCTAATTAATCACGCTCTGTCTATTTTCATTAGACTTCCAAATCCGCGGGGGTGAAATTCTGGCCGCGAGCAAACTTTTGGCCACTCAGGTTACTACGTCATGGTGACGTCAGCTTTGCCCAGGAGGTAAAAATTCCAGGGGGATAAAATTCCGGCGACCACTTTCTTTCATAGGTTAGATTAGGTT